GCGCGTTCATGCAGCCTTTACAGGTCGTCCCACATGGACCTACCAGATGTCCTTCACCAATTCGACGTCCAGATGTCCTTCACCATTTCGACCCATATAATTGCCAAAAGCACCAGAAGGGCAACAACCGGATACCCATACAGTGTCCAGGGCAGAAATCCGAATAAGATCATGGAACCCCAACCCGGCAGGACCTGGACCACGGCTTTCTTGAATACAAGGGTCAGGCCCAAGATTGGGAAATAGGCGACGGCCGAAGTGATCATGACCTTATTGACACCGCGTATCATCCCCCGTGCGCCTGTCCATATACACACACAACAAATTGAATGTGTATGGACACTGTCCATCCAGACCAGCAGAGGACACAAAACACGCGTCTACGTGCGTGTGTGGGTTTTTTACTGTCAAGATTGATGTCGACACTGGGCAGTGGAATGCTGCTCAGCGACTCTGCATGGAGGCACCGATAGACACACACATGACATACATGCCTCTTCTCGTGCACATCTCGGCAGCAAGAGCTCGAGCGACACTCACGTTGCATCAGCTCGATCGCGCCGGGTGTCCTCTCCTCCTGCAGCCATGCATATCTCGCCTGCAGGTCATTGAGTTGCTCCTGCAGTGTCCTGATGTGCTCGAGCGACGCCCTTTCCCTCTTCTCGGACCTCGCCAGGCGGTCAGCCAAGGGCAAGCTGGCGTCATCTTCCCACTGAGTGAGTGCATGGACAAAAGCAGATCATCCATCCATTGGATGCATCAGATCAAGTCGCTGCGTGCTTGCCTGTGTCCGCTTGTCGCTCGGCGGTTGTTTGCCATGGCTGCGCACGACGGCCCGTACTGCCGCATCCATCGACGGCAAAAAAGAATGAATTCTCGGCAAGATCGACAGAAAGCCGAGCAACAAAAACAGCCGCATGGTATGCACACCGCCTTCAAACAGACTCATCCGTCGTTTTGTCGTCTCCTCGCGTTCGATTGCGAGCTCAGAGAGAGGTGTTTTGTCTCTCTCGAATATTTAGAGAAAGGCGCTCGGAGAAGGTGAAAAGAGATCTGTTGTGGTGGTCGATACAGCGATAGGTATGATGCGTGACTTTCTTGTCACTCACGCTCTCCTGGTGATGGCCCTGACAGGCGCGTCAGTCACAGGTGATACCCTCCCTCATACACACGGACAGACACACACCCCTTGACATCACCTCTTTCATGCACAACTCTGCGCGCGTGTGTGTGTGTTGTGTCCGTCGCTGCAGGCGAAACAGGCGAGGCACGTGATGAGGACATAATGGGGACAGTCAGTGTGAGTGAGAGGGCCGACTTGATGTACCCTCACCGAGTTCCGGACTCTCACAACTAATCTGGGGGGCGAGAACTCCGGTGGCCAAGATGACACTGGTGGGCAGACTTGGCAAACTCGCACTTGACAATGGTCCTTTCGTGCGTTTGTCCATTCGTTCGTTCGTTCGTTCGTGTGTGTGTGTGTGTGCAGGTGATTCAGTGCGGTCACTTGTGCCCGGCCTCATGGTCGGTGATGGCGATGCGATGGATGCGGAAACAGAGCTGACCCGCGAGGGCAGCCCACTCGATGTCGGATCTGGCAGCAGCCACCATAATGGCAATGGCGATTCCACCAGCACCCAGAGGCTTCGGGGTCGGCCGCCGTGACTGCACTGTTTGCTGTGCGTGTTGATAGATATGAGAAGGGATGCGTGCGTGTTGTTGGCTGCATAATTCAGACATGATTGGTGGATGCATGTATGCTTCAACGGGCACGCAACAGGACAGACAGACTGCTCGACAGACAGACTGCTCGATGGATTGACGTCACTCACGCGCACGTGCACGCACAAAAACAGTGAATTCTCGGGAAGATGGACAGAAAGCCGAGAAAAAAAAAAAACAGCCGCATGACGCACACCGCCTTCACACACCCAAGCAGAATCGACCATGCCTACAGGAGTTCGTCCCACATGCCCTTTGCAATTACGACGAATCCCCCGGCAACACAGATCAACGAGACAACGCTCGCATACCCATACAGTGTCCAGGGCAGAAATTCAAAGAAGACCTTGGCAGCCCCAACCCTCGGCCCATCTGGGCTGATGACAAGGATCACCACCCAGATTGGAGCGTAGACAACGGCCGAAGTGAGCATGACCTTATTGAAGAGGCGCATCATCGCCACAGCACCTGTCATGCAGACCAGGAGAGGACAGAAAACACGCGTCTATCTGTGCGCGTGTTTTTTCTACTGTCAAGATTGATGTCGACACTGGGCAGTTGAATGCTGCTCAGCGACTCTGCATGGAAACACCGATAGACAGACACACAGCACCTGTCTTGTGCATATTTCGCCCAAAGTCGCACTAACATCGCATCAGCTCCCCCATGGATGGCGCCCTCAAGTCCCTCTCCTCCTGCAACCGTTGCAGTTGTGTCTTCAGGTCATTGAGCTGCTCCTGCAGTGTCCTGATGTGCTCGAGCGACGCCCTTTCCCTCTTCTCGGACCTCGCCAGGCGGTCAGCCAAGGGCAAGCTGGCGTCATCTTCCCACTGAGTGAGTGCATGGACAAAAGCAGATCATCCATCCATTGGATGCATCAGATCAAGTCGCGGGCTACATGCTTGCCTGTGTCCGCTTGTCGCTCGGCGGTTGTTTGCCATGGCTGCGCACGACGGCCCGTACTGCCGCATCCATCGACGGCAAAAATGAATGAATTCTCGGCAAGATCGACAGAAAGCCGAGCAACAAAAACAGTCGCATGATGCACACCGCCTTCAAACAGACTCATCCGTCGTTTTCTTCCATCGGCTTAGCCCGCATTCGATTGCGAGCTCAGCTGGTTGGAGTCGATTCTCTCCAACTCGATGAGGCGGACACGCCACAACACGATGGAGCTGCACCACTGCTTGTCTGTTCTGCTGTAACGCAGGTGTGACCTGGTTGATCAAACTGAGGGATCATCGCGGGCCTGCAGCTGGAGATGGCCGCTCTGAAGCCTGTTGAATGAATGCGCCAATCCCTCATTCCCTCATCGCGGCCGCCCTGCTGATCCACCTCGTCGTCACAGCCATTTCAGCACCCAGAGCACACGCCTTCCCCCGCAACTCACCCCTCTCATACACAGCTTCCGACAAGCACAGCAGCCAAAGGCGCCATGTGGCTCTCTATGGCCAGCAGCAGCCGGGCGGCAACCCCATCAGCAGCTTCATTGACGCCTTCACGGGCAAGGCTGCCGCCGAGCAGCGGGCGAGGGAGAGGGCGGAGACTGAGAGGCGGCGACAGGTTGTCTATTCTCTCGAGGGAGATGTGGACGATGATACGGCGCTTCACGAGGGAGGCAGGACCATGCAACGCGAGCTGGAGAGCTGCACGAGTGCCGCTGACGTCCTGACAGCAGTCACTGATGTACAACATGACTCATCTTTTGCCCCTGTTTCGGGAGACTTGCTCCGGCTCGCGTGGGGACGCATCGAGCACCTCACGCCATCTTTGCGCGCCGCGGCCGAGGTCAAGACCGATCCCAGGCTGCCTCTGCTCGTCCAGCAATCCGTCGCCAACAGCATCGCCAATCAAGACGCCTCAATCGCGTCGGCGCTGCTCTCCTGTCTGGGCAAGCTGCGGCTGCGCGAGAGGGAGCTGGTCCCCAACGTGCCGTCGATCATGGGGGCGGCAGACCTAGTGGCTGCCCAGTGGGACAAGATGCCCGTGCGCGCCCTGATGGATGCATTACGGGGCCTTTCACAGCTGGGCGTGGCGACTGGGCCGCTCCTCTCCCAGCGCATCGATGCCGACACCAACAGGCGGATGCGCACCTTCCTATCGTCGGCTCATCTCTCTTTACGCGACCTGGCGGACTTCCTCCGGTATGCGACAGTAATGCGGTGGGAGTTTGATCAACTGGCCTCCCCGCTGCTGGTGGCCGCTGCGAGATTGCTCAAGAGGGAGCGCAAGAGGGGCGGAAGGAAAGGCGAGTGCCACCCACACCTGGCGAGCTTGCTGCATGGGCTGGCGAGGACCAAATGCCATCTCGCGATGGGGCAGAGTGACGACGTCAGGACGGCATATGAGGGGGTTCTCACTGAGACGGCGACCATTCTGAGGAGCGACCCCACACCGATGGCGGCGAAGGATGTGGCGCGACTGCTCAGGGGCCTCGCTGTGCTCCAGGAAGACAGCGGCCAAGACGAAAGCAGCGACAAGGAGCACCAATGTTTATTGATGGCGGTGCTGCAGGTCGCCCAGAAGCGTCTCGTCATCAGCAACGGCACGCAGCCGATCGAGCCGACTGTCCACGTGCTGTCTGCGTTGCAGAGCTTCCCAAGGGGGCAGGGCGGCATTTCTGACGGCCGGCTGGCGGCGCTGACGGCCCATGTGCACTGCCATGTGAAGCGGCTGTCTTTGCGGCAGGGCGGGGCCATTCTCTCGGCTCTTGCTCGCTTGGACGTACGCGACAGTGAGCTGCTCTCTTTGCTTGCTCGCCGCATGGAGGCGCTGATCAAGACGCAGACGGGCAGACAGAAGAAAGGAGCGGTGCAGCAAGGGCATGTCAGTGACCCTGCCAGTCCCCTGCTTCCATCCCACTCCCGCCCCTTCGACTCCGAGCACGGCATCACGAGCCCAATCGCTACCGCTGTGTGGGCACTCGGTCGCCTCAATTACCGCGATATGGCGCTGCTGGAGACGGCAGCCAGCTGGTCGCGTGTGGGATATGGTGGCATGAGTGCTTTGGAGAAAAGCATGATGGTCTGGGGCTTCGGGCAATGTGGTGTGCGTCCAGAGGGCCTGTTGGTGCGACTGAAGAGGGAGGGGGAGGGGTGGGTCAGCCGGCTGGGAGATAGGGAGCTCGGAATGGCGGCGGTAAGCTGAGCTGCGCCCGCCCCACCTTTCCTGAGCCGATCATGGTGTGCCGTAATTGTTTGTGTTGCAGGTTGGTCTAGCCAAGATTGGCTTTCAGTCGCCTTCACTGCTGTCGGCCATCGCCAGGCGGGCCATGTCCCTCTGCGAGCGCGGCCACCTGCCGCCACGTCAGCTGACCAACATCCTCTGGTCCCTCGGCCGCCTGGGCGTCGTCCACAACCCCTTAATGCGAGCCGCATGCCAAATGCTCACCTCCTCCCCACACCTGTTCCAGCTGCAAGAGGGCATCGGGGTGCTGCTGGCTCTTGCGTGGCTGGACTACTGTGATGAGAATGTGGCTGCTGTGGTGGCGGGCGAGTGGGAGAGGCGTGTGCAGCAACACGACTACGAGCCGCAGCCCATAGAACTGACGGCGTTCGTGTGGGCGCTGGGGCGGCTCCGGCCACACCAATGCATCGACAGCCAAGAGCTGCTGACGGCCACGTTGCCGTTCGTGATCCGCCAATTCGCGGCATTCTCTCTCCCGCAGCTGTGCGACTACATCTGGGGCATCGGTCGCCTGCTCGCCGGCCAGACACAACCACTCACCGTCCTCTTCCAGGCCATTGGTGAGCCGCTGAGCAGCCGGCTGGCGCAGGCGAGTCTGGCTGTGGGTGTGGGTGACGGCTATGCGGACATGTCATTGATGGACGGCAGGGGGGAGGAGAGGGAGGGAGGGGTCGGCAGGGAGACGTTTCGCACAGGCGATTTGGCCAAGCTGACCAACACCATGGCGCGTGCGAGGGTAGAGGGGCAGCACAAGCTGAAAGAGGTAGGCCGAAAGAGGCCATGCAATGCGGTCGTCCGGCTCCACAAAATCGCTGCCTGTCGGTGTTCTTCATGTTCTGTGTATGCAGGCGCTTCTTTGGCACGTCTCTGACGCATCAACGGTCCGGCAGCTGGACGTCGTGTCCCTGGTGGACATTGCCCAGTCCCTCAGCAAACTCTACGCCTACTCTCCCACCTCGCACACGCCACAACAGTCCGACGCCGCGCGTATGCAGCCCATCCTCAAGCCCCTCATGCTCATTGCCGATGAGGTCACCGCACGAGTGGCCTCACTGAGAACCGACAACAGCGATCCCGAGCTGAGCCAGCTGACGGCTGAAGAGACTCTCCGCAAGATGTCGATCGTTTTCTGGGCGTTCGGGCGGCTGCGGTTTCACCACGCGGCCTTTATGGAGGAGTTCTTTGCTTTAATGCTGGCCCTGGTGCCCTGGTCGACAGGGCGGCGGCGCAGGAAGCAGTCTGACCGTTGTCTGGCGCCTCTCGCGTGGACGCTGTCTGACCACAATTTGTGTCAGGTGTGGTGGGCGATGGGACGGTTGCAGATGAGGGAGGAGAGGGTGCTGGCCGTCATGAGGGAGGCGCTCTTGCACCGGATGAGGGCAGCGGGTGGGGAGGGAGGGGTCATGAGGGCATCGCATTTAGCGCAAGTGGTGGTTTCTATCGGGCAGCTACGCATGCCGGACGATCGCAAAGTGCTCGATGACGTGAGTGATACACACCATACTACACAGATCACGCACATTGGCCAATCCTTCCCTTCGTCAGGTCCGAGACCATCTCGTCTCGTCCGGCCGGCTGGCCACCTTCCCGCCTCGCGAGCTGTCGAATCTCATGGGCGGCCTGGCGGCCTACAACTACAACGATCCCGCCCTCCTGCACGCAGTGCAGCAACGCTTCGCCGCCGCCCAGCACCTCTTCTCTCAACGAGACAAGATCGAGATGCAAAACGCCTTCACACGGCTCAACCTGCCCCTCCCTCCCCTGGTCCCCCTCTCCATCCCTTCACCACGACCACGGCCGCCCGACGGGCGTCCTTACAGAGGCAGGGGCGTGCTTTCGACAGATGAGGACTTCGCCGAACGGGTGAAGGAGGAGGCGGCCTGGAGATCTGGCGTGCATCGGGGCAGCAGGAGCAAGGGTGTGGGTGAGCTCTCGCGGCTGCAGGTCCAGACGAGAGCTGCGGAGCGGCTGATGGAGTATCTGGTCGGGAGGCCAGAGGGCAACGAGGGAGACAAGGGAGGAGCTGCACAAAGTGCCAACGGGCACAGTAGTTCGTTTGATGTGGGTGTGCTGGTCAACGGGGAAGGCAAGGGGAACGGGAGGCACGCAGGCAAGAGGAAACGAATAAGGAGTGAAGCAACAAGGCGGTAGATGTGTGTGATGTGTGTGTGAGCGCTTTTCGGTGTTCATGCTAGGCCATGTCCAGTCCACCCGTGCAAGAGATAGATTTTTCCCTCTACGACTATGTGGATATGCACACACGGGAATGAATGGGCGGGTGGACTCGACAGCAGCTTTATTCTTCAAAGTGTGGCAATGTGAAGGAGTACTGGCCGTTTTCGGCAGGTTCAGGGTTTAGGGTTTACGAGTTCACGAGACGTCGCGATGGAATTTCCACTTTTTCTCAAAAACTCTAGATTTCATTTGAAACACGCTGGTTTTCATCTTAAACACGCTGGGAAATAGCCAACAACCCACCCCCGGGCTGCTGAGTCGCATCCTGGGCGGCAGCCGGCGACACAGCGCGACAGCTTGTCAAGGACTTCAACGAGTGGACTGAAAGAGTTGTGGAGCAGTGGTTGGCGGACCGCGCTTGTGTGCTGCTCATTGACGAACTCAACAAGCTGATCACAAAGAACGTCGTGGCTTCCTGAAGCAGAGCTTCATCGACAAAAAGGAGCGTTACTTCGTTTTTTCGGGCCATTCAGCGCCGACAGGGGGCAAGCTAGCGGTGTTCACTCAGAGCCCCAGCGACCGTCATCAGGACGGGATGGACGGCGCAAACCGCAAAACAGAGGGCGGCCCCGGCAGCCGCCTCACGCCAGCTTTAGGTTCGCATATGAGGGGCTTGAGGACGATGAGAAGGAGGAGGGCAACATGGGGAGTTACGCCGCCATCTCAGCCTGTGCGGTGGGACCTGCCCCTGGCTGGTGTTCGGGGGGTCTTTCGCGGGCAAGGCGGCCGGCGAGTTTGACCTCCCTCTTTCCCTCGAGGATTCTGAAAATGAGCTCGAAGACCGAGCCGTCTCCCTCTTCCTCTCCCTCTCTGCCTTCAATGCATACCATGCCTTCACGGGAGCCCCCTGCGGCGCACATCGATGCAGGAGACATGCCATTTGACATCGCTCATCAACAATGAGTGTGTCCAGGACATCGCGAAGGAAGCTGATGGGTACATATTACAAATACCTTACAAAGAGAGCACAAGAAACACACATGTGTATATGTGTGTTTCAGCCGATAAGTCCATCGTCAAGGAGTCAGACGCCATCCGCATCTACAATGCATGCTGGAATGGCTGACAATCCTATGGCGGACAACAAGCCGGAGATCGGACCCGGCATTGCGTAGAAGACAGTCCATTCCGGTGATAGTGAAGTGCTTCAAGGCTGGCATCAACACCAGGTACATATCGCCAGTTGAACTACATGTACATGTCCACCAGACCCTCATCGAGCATCGCCGTCACTCGAACGGCAAGGCCAATGAAGAGAGTCAGGTCAGTCAAGGCGGGCCGCTTTGCAATGATGACTGACTCACTGCATACGATGTCATGTCACTGTCAGTGCTTCACCCAGTTCAGCCTTGTTTTCGAGCGTCAAGAGAGCCGACGGTCTACCTTCCTACGCAGCCGACAACAACGCGACAAGAAGGCGGGCGTCGGCCGTGCTTTTGGCTGCTGCGGGTGCAGAGTGAGGTCAGCTGTGGATCGCATGACCGCATTCGGCAAAGCCGAGCTGCTCGGGGGCATTTGCGAGGGGGTGACGAGGCTGCCTGTACAAATGTGGTGTAATCCATGGCGGTATGCCTTCCCGCGAGTCATGCCTTCCAGCGAGCCGATTCAGACGACGTAGTGGAAGTCAGCGACACAGAGACATACACAGACGAGTTCAGCGTGCTTGGTTCACGTCTTCCTGTTCGACTATGACGACACGTACGCCAGACACAATCAGTTGAGAGCTACATGCATCCATCCATCCCCGTGCTGCTGTATGTGTATCTGTCCTCTCTCGGTGCTCTGCGCAGGCTATTCCCCACCTCTGCACACGACAGCATGGAGGAGGCGGTCCGGAAAGGGACCATGACAGAGAAGGAGGGGCGGGCAATACTGGCCAAGTGCGCCGGATCGGCCCTGCGGCTGCTGGAGCGGTGCGTCCTGAGGGGCCAGGTCATCATCTGCTCCAATGGCGACCGCTCCTGGTGAGTGGGTGGGTGGGTGGGTGGACAACCGACATGCCGTGTGTGTGTGCCAATGTGCAGGCTGGAGGAGTCGCTGGACGGGGAGGCCTACCAGGAGCTGAGGCAGTTCCTGAAGGCCAGGGCCATCCCCGTCCTCTCCGCCAGGGAGCACGCACGGCTGCAGGGACTCATCGAGTACGAGTCCGGATCACCACGCCACACTCCTGGCTCCCTGTCTCTCTCCCTAGTGTGCGTGCCATGCAGGGCGCCGGAAGAGCACTGGCAGCACACCCAAGAGACAATTCATCGCTGCTTGCATTTTATATCTGACTGTCTTGTGGGCAAACCATCTCGCCTCCGCAAAAACAGATATGCACGCGGAAAATGGGATATTGATGACTTCTTACATACACACATAAATAAAGCGTTCGCTGGTAGACGAGCTGTACAGACCAATCATACCCCTAGGTGGGTGTGTGTTGCCACGCGCATGTCTATATCACAAATGTCTGTCTATCATCTCACACACATCACAGTCACAGCAGCTTTAGGTGTCCACACACACTGTCAGCCTCATCGGCGAGACACGGACCAATACCCAACACCGTCAGAGAACCGCGGGCTATCTGAGACACCCAATGCACACACATCCATCCACCCATCCGTGTGTGTGTTTCCCACCCACCTGTGTGTGTCCGGCGTCGGCAATGAGGGCCGCCACAAAACCCCGATCAACGGCATCTTGCTGCATGGACACTCAGACAGAGAGAAAGATACCCATGCATATGGAAATGCGGTCTTGTTCTCCTTCCCTCTACAGATGCGTACAGACGTACGCACATAGATGTCGAGCAGTTGGTGTTCACTGTCGACGCGCACAGCCACCTTGGTCACACCCGTGTCCTCCCTGTTGGTGGACATCCACACGCACGAAGAGACATAGTACCCTGATGACGTGTATGTCTCTGTGTGTGTGGCGTGGGCCTACCAGAGTTTCAGGTGCGGGTTTCCTTTCTTGACGGATATTTTGTAAGCCTCCACGGCAGCATGGGCACACTATACACACGAATTCGCACACACACGGACACGCGACTCTCCCCATCCCTTCCATGTCTCTCCCCGTCCCTCTTACCTGTGCGGCAATTTTCCCTTTGCCCATCTTCAGATCGCTTCTTACCACCAAGACCATCTTGCACGGCTTCCTACGCGCCCTGGCCACGCTGCTGCTGCTGCTGCTACTGGTGTCACTCTTTGTTGGTGTTCGTGTCTCGCCATTTGATGGTGATGGCAATGCTTGAACGCGGGATGATGGATGTGACACCATCTGTGGCCTTGTTCTCAGCTGTGAAGTGGTTCTGCCAGCAAACACACGCCTGGCTGTCTGTGTGGGGCCGTGGTGTGTGCGTATGTGTGAATGCAGGCAGCGTGGCAAGGGGGAGGGAGGGAGGGAGGGAGGGAGAAGGTGGAGGAGCGACGGATGCCTCCAATAACAACAATTGGCAAGCAATGGTTAAGCCTCCAGGACGTCTTGTCCAGAAATAAAGCACAAAACCTCCAGGCCCAAGCAGGCAGGCAGGCAGGCACACACGAGGGCAAAAATGGCAGCCACGCGGCCGTCCTCCCCCCAACACAAATAAATCTCATCCATCCATCGAAGGACCGGCCGGCCGGCTGCCATGTCCCTGCCCATCTCCCGCAGACATTGCACAAACCTCACTCACTGACTGTACACACACACACAGACAGGCACACAGACAGGCAGACAGACAGACAGCGCTCTATCTTTCTCTCTCTCTCTCTCTCTCTCTCTCGGTCGGTGAAAAATCGGCTCTAAACCCTGCCAGCCAGCTTTGGTTGGTATGTACAGATAAAACACAGCACAGCCATTCATTCGTTGATTGATTCAGTCATCTGCTGTGTGTGGAAGAATGGCAGGCAAGGCAAAAACTCCCCTCTTCCTTCCTTCCTTCCTTCCTTCCTCGATCGCTCCTGGCTGTCTGTCTGTGCAGACACAGATACTCACAGCGAGCGTGCGCACGTCAGTCACGTGTGCATCCCATCCATCCATCCATGCAGGCACGCAGGCAGGCATGCAGCCGTCGCTTCGTTGTGGAGTGGGAGGGTCAAAATCCATCCATCCATCCATCCGTCCATCCACCCACCATGGATCAATCACAACCGTCGCTGCCCCTTCCCTCCCTCCCTCCCTCCCTCCCTCTCCTCCCCCGCTCCCCCTGCCAGCCACCACGTGTGCGCGTGGATGGTGTGGGTGAGTGGGCGTCTGTTACGCTGGGGTAGGTTCGCTCTCCTTGATGGCCTCGGTGAGGGCCCTGTTGATAGATGAAGACACACATGAATGAATGAGCCCACATAGCATCTATAGTGGGGCTGGTGGATGTGCATGTGTGTGCTTATTCATCTGGGTGGGTGACGACAGACACCGTTTACCTTGGGAGCTTCCAGTTGACGTTTTCCTCCGCGAAGACGAACTCCTCTGTTTGTGTCACACCGAGCTCCTTCAGCCGATCCACCACTCGCTGCACAACGTCCTCGGGTGTGGAGGCGCCTGCCGTGAGGGTGATGGTCTTGACCCCATCCAGCCACTCCTCGCGGATGTCGTCTGGACCCTGAATCAACTTGCCCCTACACACACACACACACACAACACGTGTACCGCATCCAGATGACCTGCGCATGTATGTGCGTGTGTGCGGGGCGTCCGTCCGTCCATACTTGACATTCCTCAGCTCGGCGGTTTCCCTCAGCCGCTTGGAATTGGACGACATCTGGTCACCCACCACCAGCGCCAGGTCGCTCTGCCATTCGACACACACCGGACACACGCCCTCTTGGATGGATGGATGGATTGGTGGATGCCTCACCCGCCCCACCTGTTCGACGACCTCCCTCATGGCGCCCTGCCTGTTGGTGGTGGCGAAGCAGATGCTCCCGCTCGGAATGCTCTCGACGTGGGGATAACGCAGCTTCAACGCAGCTGTGTCCAATACACACACACACACACACACGGAGGGACGGATCACTTGAGAAGGTGTGTTGCTGTGCTGTGCTGTGCTGCGGTGTGGTGTGGTGTGGTGTGCTGTGGTGTGCTGTGCCGACCAACGATGTCTTTGCAGTCGTCCATTGACAGAGTGGTCTGCGTGGCGTAGAACAGCCTGAAGGCACACAAGACACACAGCAAAGACATGACACTTGTGTGTCTGTGTGTGTGGGTGGGTATGTGTGTGGCTGACTAGACAGACTGACTTGTCGTTTTCGGTGAAGGGGAGGTTCATGACGTCCTGCACGCTCTCGACGATGGTCGTCTGGTCGGGGGCCTCCCCCTTGGTGCCGATCGTCTCAACTACACCACACCACACCACACGCACACTGATGACATTGACGCACACACACCCTATAGTATAGCGTGCGGACTCACTAACCGTGATCGGCGTGGCCAATAAGGATGATGTGATACCCCTCCTTAGCCTTCCGCTTGGCGTATACGTGGACCTGCACGCGCACACACGCACCAGACACACGTAACGCCTGAACGCATGAGCGCATAACGGCGGGGCGGGCGGGCGGAGGGTGCGCACCTTAGTGACGAGAGGGCAAGTGGCGTCGACCTCCATGAGGTTCCGCTGCTTGGCGACGTCGCGGACCTCCGGGGGTATGCCGTGGGCCGAGTAGATGATCTTCTCGCCCTCCGGCACCTCGTTCAGGTCCTCGATGAAGATCACACCCTTGTTCTGTGTTCCCATACATAACATACACACAGACAGACAGACAGACAGATGGCCCAGTGAGTGTGTGTGTGTGCGCGCGTTGCATGTAGAAGGTGACCTTGAGTCGGTCACAGACGATTCTGTTGTGCACGATCTCGTGTTTGACGTAGATGGGCGGGCCCCACAGCTTGAGCGCCTCCTCGACTGTGTCGATGGCACGAACGACGCCCTGATTGAGTGATAAAAGGACCGACCAACGATATGATGGACACACACCAACGAATGCGTGTGATGTGAGCGCTGGTGCAGGCAGGCAGGCAGGCACGGACCTCGCAGAAGCCTCGTGGGTTGGTGAGTACCAGCTTGATGCCTGGAAGGAAGGACGAGGCGAGGCGAATCAAGGGGAGGGGAGATGCAGATTGATGGGTTCATGGGAAGGTGTACATGTCATGTGTGTGGGTACGGTATCTTACCTTCTCCCTGCTGCTGCTCCTGCGCCGCTGCTGGCTGCGTGTCGGTCATCATGGTGTTGGCCTTGGAGGTCATCTCGCTCTTGGCCGAGCCCACCAGCTGGTTGTACCTCTCCACCTCATCAGCCGACCCATACGCCACCGGACTGCGGTCGTCGGTCGAGCTGATCTGCGGAAAATGGAGGCACACACACACACACGAGTGTTTCTTCATGTGTGTGATATGAGGGGCGGGGGGCGGGTTTGATTTGCGTGCCTTGACGTCGAGTATTGACGCGAGTCCGTTTGACGACTTGCCACCGGCCTTCTCCACGATATAGGCCAGCGGGGCAACCTTGACACACACACACACACACACACAAGGGTTGATGCCTTCACATATTGACGGATGCATGTATGCAGTGACTGCCTAACTGACCTCGTAGAGCAGCCGCAGCTTGGCGGGCGCTGCGTCGCTCGATGGGTTCACGAAGACGCCCTGAATGACGTACATGACGTCCATGTGTGTGTGTGTGTGTGTGGCCATGCGTGTGTGTGGATGGCTGCGTACCTTTCCTTTGACGAGCAGCTGGAAGACATCAGGCACCATGCCGCCAGTGTACCTGCAGCCATATGGATGGATGTGTCACGAAACACAGGTGTGCGAATGGATCCGCGTACGTGTGGACGTGTGTGTGCGTCTCAGCCGGCCTAGCCTACCTTAGTTGGTATTTGTTCTTGACCCAGAAGTCCACCAGCTCGTTGTAGCCCTTGTTGTCCTGCGTTGCACGGAGATTGCCTGCACACACACACACACATTCACACACAGAGAGAGAGAGAGAGAGAGTGAAGCACGCACGCTCTCGTGTCCACAGACGTACCCGGTGCGAACAGTTTGCCCTCTCCGATTTCGGTGAAGCGGTTGGTGTGGACCCAGTCGCCGTGGCGCTGGCCCATGTCGTCGACCAGCGTGAACTCATGCGCACCCTCAACGCCCTCCACGGCGATCGTCATCGACACGCGGGGGCCGTACATGGCCAAACCTGTCATGTCACACACACACATGGGATGGTGATACAGACAGACAGAGATGGGTGCGGGGGTCAGCAGGAACGTACCAGCTGCGCTGAGCTCCCTGCCCGTGATGCCCGTCAGCCTGCTGCCCGGCCACACGCCGAAGAGCGTCCCCACAGCAAAGTTCGTGTCAACTGCACACACAGTGCACGCCACGCCCTTCTGGAGGTGTGTATACATGTATGTGTGTGTGTATATGCGCCGACCGACCGATGGACGATCCATCAAGTGGGTCGAATGCGACACTGTATGTGCCGTCGAGATCGTCGCCCTCGGCGATGAGCGGCTTCTCGACGGGCTCCTCCTCGCTTGACGCAGTCGACACCACCCCTGCACACACAACACACACGATGGGTGGGTGGGTGTTATACTGTGTGTGTGTGTGTCAGGACATTCCCTCCCTCTGTGTGTGAGTGTGAGTGTGTGTGAACGTACCCGATTGATCCAGGTTGAAGAAAATCAGATTGTTGGCCAAAATGTCCACAGCCAACTGCACACACACACACACACACACACATACACACACAGAGGTGTAATGGATGCGCCTCATGATGGACAGACCTGTTCATCCCCAAAGTTGTTGAAGCACGACGTAGAATCACACGAGGCCGTCCGCACCTGACAATCACACACACACCCCCACGAGCGTCCAATCCAATCCAATCCAATCAGCTTGTCTGCCTGCCTGCCCGCGTCCGTACCTTGTATCCGATTTCCTTACAGGCGTCGAACATGGCCTTGAGGACCTTCTGCAGCTTGGGCTCCACCCCGCTGTCGGCCAGCCAGTCGTACAGCGTCTCACCCAACTTCATGCTCAGAGAGGCCGGGTGGGCGGGTGGCACAGACACATCACCTGAACACACACACGCACACACACATCCGCACAGAAACAGAATCACATCCTGATCTCAGATCTGCCGAAGTGGAGTCCCTGGTTGTTGGCGCGAGTGGCTGACCTTCGTCGCTTGTCATGCGGACTGGACCTCGCAGGCGAAACGCCCCACGAGGCCAGCCGGCAGGGTGCAGATGGCCTGGCGCTGCTCCTCTCCTCTCACCAAGATGGATAGCACCGCCGCTGGACGAGATCCCTGCCCGCCAATGTGCTGGTGGGCGAAAGGCGCACGACGGCACCGCCGTGATGGCCATCATGCAGAGGCACAGCCATGCAGGCGGCACCAGCTGCGCCATCAGCTGCGGGAGCGACTTCATTCTCCAGATGCACGGCTGTCTCTCTCTGGTGCTCCCTCTTGCCGAGAGCAGGAAAGCTCGCAACAAGACCTCTCTAAAGGCCGAAGGGAAGGGTGCATAGGCAGGATGAGTGTTCCTGGTGCCGCTGCAGCCGCTGCGGCGAGCGTGCTGAGCGATGGTATGAGCCCACACGCGTCCGACGCAGATCCCCATGGAGGACAGAACCATAACGGAGAGGTGAGGTGATGAGAGAGTGCGTGAGTGAGTGAGCACACATGCGTTAACGAACGTTGGCATGGCATGCACCCCACCCCATCCATGTATACCACGCCTCCATGCGTCCGTCCATCCGCGCAGGCGAAGGATGCGTCAGGCAACGGTGACGGCATAGAGTGCGAGGAGGTGGTTGACGAGCCGATGCCGTCCGCCAGTGGGGACCCCCACCAGGGACAGCAGCAGAGGGGTGAGCAAGGTCAGTCAGCACGGGGTGACCGCGGTGCCACTGAGCGAGGATGGGGGGGAGGGTGGGTGGTCACGTCACGTCACGGAATGCATTGCATGCAACACATATGCAGCACCAACTTAACTAATGTCTGTGTGTCCTGACTGACTGTCCTTGGTCTCTTCACATTGATTGATTGTTGATTATTGATTTGATTGCATCATGTGCGGCAGTGGGTGCGGGTGGTGGTGAGGTGGAGTACATCGGTTGTGGACCCATATTCACTCGCGCACACCACACACACAGAAAGGTAGGGAGGGAGGATCACCACAAATGACAGACAGCAGACGGCACGCTCCATCGTGTGTGTATGCTATGGGTGTGGTCTGTCCGTGTGTCTGTCTGTCTGTCTGTGCAGTCGTTGCGTCCGGCCGGCTGCGCGCTGCCCAAAGGTCTCTACCCGCTCTCGTCGGTGCTCAAGTCGGTGCCTGGCGAGGCAGCCGTGGCCGATATCGCTGTGGGCAGGTGGCAGATGGCCGTGCTGCTCGACAACAGTAGGGTGTGTGTCTGGAGGGGGAGGTGAGTGACTGAGTGAGTCAGGGAGTGAGGGGCGGGAAGTCGTGTTGACCTGTGTGTGTGTGTGTGTGTGTGTGTGTGTGCAGCACGTACAAGTGGCAGGATGTGTCAGTGCTGCGGCAGTACTGCCTGACCTCCATCACCATGGCCTCCTCACCGACCTCAGAGGAACGGTTCGTCATCGCCGGCATTTCGCGCGAAGGTCTGTCTGTCCATCCACACACACCACACCGCACAGACGAGACGTGTGTATGCACGTCACACACACGTGTGGTTGTGTGTTGTGTGTTGTGTGTGGTTATACGTTTGGTTTGGTTTGCAGGGTCGTTTCACTGGGTGTCGTCAGACAGCCTGCAGAAGGAGCGGTCGATGGACCTGAGCGTGAGGCCTGGCGAGCGGGCAATCGCAAAGTCAATGGATCTGGCGGACGTAATCGATGTATGTACGCTGCGTACGCTACGTTACGTGGCGGCTACACACACACACACACACACACAAAAGCAACTGCTCACACGTGTGTGCGTTGATTTGACTGCAGGGTGAGTTTGTGCCGGCCATGGCCGTGCTGAGTTTTGCTGGCGGCGACGAGAATAATCCCTACCTGTTTGTCAAGGGCCCGGAGGCGTTCACTCGGTTCAGGAACTTCTCATCCACACCACTCAAGGTGGGTGACCAGCACACACACGCGCACACACACCCGAGCCTGACGTCTCTCTCTCTCTCTCTGTATGTGTGTGTGTTTGTGTTTGTGTGTCCATGGGTTCATCCATCCGCAGGCGCTGTGCGGGCTGTCTGGCCTGTATGGGTGTGTGTTGGTGGCGGACGGCCACGTGTTCCACTGGAGCCCCGATATGGCGCCCGACGGGCAATACGGCCGATATGACAACGGAAACGTCAAGATGGCCATCAACAAGGTAATAAGGTACCCCACCCACCCACCCCATGCACACCACACAGGACTCTACGTCCACATGAATGTTTGTGCGTGTATGCGATGCGCCCCGCCCAGCTGTGTGGTTCCCTCTCTGCCGGCAAAGTGGTGGACGTCGCTTGCTGCGGCAACGCCTTCACGGCCGTGACGCGCGACGGCGTCATTCACGTGTGGACGGGCGCGGGCGACACTGGGGCCAAGTTCGTCATCAACACGCCCATCCAGTGGACACCCGACTTCCATCAGATGGTTCGTTTAGTAGTAGCCCCACCCACCCACCGCTCACCTCACCAGCATGACCTCTGTCTGTTTGTGGTCAAACCATGCTTGTGACAAGCAGCTGATAGACGAGCGTGGCATCCCCTTCGCCAGCCGCTACCTGCTCACCAACGAGGAGAGGCCGTCCGCCCAGCTCGAGGCCGTCAGGAAGCAGGAGCTCGAGACACTCTATGGCGTCACGGTGACCATGCAGAGGGAGGGGGACGGGGCAGGGGAGACACCGAAGCTGACCATCAGCAAGGGCGCCGACGACCCGATTGTGCGGCTGTTCGTGTGTGAGGAATGGACCATGGGCGTGAGCCGTGGGGGCCGAGTTGCTGGGTGGAAGAATGGCCTCCTGACGCGAGGAACAGCGGTCAGTGGAGTGCGTCATGTGTGATGAGTGGATGGACTGACTGGACGGAGGGAGGGATGGATGGCTGTCGTGTGGGCTGTGGTGTGTGTGTGCGTCTTTGGTCTCTTCCTTCCTCAGATTGAGAGTGTGTCGGTCAACCTGTACGAGTGTCTGCGGCAGCTCCACAGCTCCATCAACGACCCCGCCCTCTTCGCCAACATGACCACAGAGACCACCCTCACCGACCTCCCGCCCGCCTCCTGCCGGATCATCGCTTCACCATCATGCTTCATATTCGCCCACAGACACCCCGCCCCGGCACCCGCCCCCGCCCAGCCAGAGGCCGACGAAGAAATGATGATGATGCCCGAGAGCTCGGCCACGCCAGGCGGTCGCCCCGCGAAGCGCCGCGGCCGCCCGCCTGGCTCGCGTGGACGGGGAGCTGCCAAGAGAAAGGCAGAGGAGGAGCTGGCCACGCGCGACACACAGGTGGGTAAATGGAACGATTTATGACGGTTCCTTCCACCACACACACGACAGACAGATGTCTCTCTTTGTTGTGGACTGCCAGGGCGGCGCCGACGAGCCTGTGCGTCCGAGCGGCCGCAAGCGGGGTCGGCCGAGGGGCAGTGGTCGGGGCAGGCCGCCCAAGGCCTCACTCGCCGCTATGGCCGCTGCCGCCGCAGCTGCAGCTGCTGCTGCAGTAGCCAGGGACACCCTCCAGGAGCAGCGCGAGCAGAAAGAGGGTAAGGGTGAGGGTGAGCCACCCCGCTTGTCGAAGCGAGGCCGCCCACGTGGCAGACCGAGAGGCAGTGGCCGGGGCAGGGCCAGGGGGAAAGGGCGGGAAAGGGGGACTGCGGCAGCAGCAGCAGGGGTGGAGGATGCAGCCATGGGTGGTGAGGATGAGGAGCCGGCTGTGAAGCGAGGGGAGGAGTCCGACGAGGAGGAGGAGGAGGAGGAGGAGCCCATGCCGCCGCAGCAGCGGCGGAGAGGCCGTGCGAGGACCACCGACGAGGACGAGAGCGAGGATGCCGAAGAAGAGGAGCAGGAGTGGTACGTTACGTGCACACGCACTGGCCTGCCCTGCACCACACTCACACATCCACTGCACTGGCTGTACGTACGGCGTCCATGTGATGTGCCTCTCTCTCTCTCCTGTTGCGATGCGATGTGACCGACCGACCATTCCATTCAGGGAGGTGGAGCGCATCCTCTCACACCGTGACCTCGCCAACGGCGTCCGTGAGTTCCAAGTCAAGTGGAAAGGTGCGACCCCCCACCCCACCCCACCATGCTATGCTATGCTGTCTCCCCCCTCCCCCCACCACGCCACGCACGCAGAAACCCATCTATCTGGTTTGCCTGCCTGTGTATGTCTGTCCACGCACGCACACAGGGGCCTGGTCGCCGACGTGGGAGAGTGCCGACCTCCTGACACACTGCCAGGAGCTACTGGCCGACTACTGGGTCTGCCGCAACGCTAACAAGACCAGGGGCGGCCGGTTCGTCAAAGACCCGCAGTTGCTCATGGACCATTGAGGTGAGGTGAGGGACCTGACGGGCGGCGGACAGATCAGATCGGATCAGATCAGATCGGCGGACGACGAATCTTTTTCGTCTGCTTCGTTTTGACGTTCACACAACGTACGTACATCTGCATTTTTCCCACTCACATGCATCAGATGTATGGCGAAGGCGGCATGTAGGGCTGGCATGGCATGGCACGGCTGGCTGCGCGTGTGCGCGATGTATACTTGTGCTGATGATAATACGGTGACTTCTGAGTGAGTGAGTGGCTTGAATGCACGCAGGGAGGGAGGGACGGGGGGAGTCGGGTGTTTGTTACTTTAGTTCGCGACTGACTGAGACTCACAGGAACATGTATCTTGAAGTCAGGTCACTTGACGATGGATGAATTGCGATGATGGATGGTACACGGCCATCCATCCAGCCACAGAGGCGTCACGTCAAGTGAGACAGGACAGTGAGTGTCACAGAGTCAGGCATTCGAATGCACATGTGAGCTGAGCGCTCATAGGCACATCAGACAGACATGTATCGAACACACCCACGCATCGCATCCAACCTGAGCCAGTCGGCTGAGGGAGGGAGGGAGGGAGCGAGAGACTGTCGTGATTTGGTAGTCTGGTCGGTTGTCTTATTGGAAAATAATAATGCCATCAGGGACGGACGACAAACGTCACTCGCTCAGTCAATTGCGATGAGATGTATACAGCCATCGATCCAGGCAGACAGACAGACAGACAGGCAGGCACCACACAGGACAGTGTCACAGAGATATGGATATGTGAGGTTACACCCACACACAGAGCATCAACACACGCACACACACAGAGGGAGAGTGGGAGCCGGTCGCAGTTTCGACACGCAGCGCTTCCCAGCCAGCTGAGCTACCCACACACACACCCATCCATCCATCCATCCATCCCATATATCAGCACATGTATGAGCTACTCGCCACCACCACCCTCTACTGGACCTGGCTGGCTGCATGTATGTGACTGACGGCACGTCTATCGATAAATGCACTAACTACGACCCAGCCATGACAAAAAAACTGCCCCTGGCTCCCATACATGGCTCACACGCGCACACATTCATATTCATTCACAGAGCACGGCGGGGAGGGATGGGGGGAGGGCGCGGCGGGGCGAGGCGAGGCGGGGCGGGCCACACACACGTCATTCTGACCGTGATCGTGCCCACATACAAGCCAGGCCGCCAGCCAATCCACCATCCATCCATCCATCCATGTGAGTGATAGCCATGCGTCTCTACATAAGTAATTAGCACTGCACTCCACTGCCTATAAAGACATTCCACATCATATCATATCACACCACACCACAAAACACAGCACGCGAGACCAGTAGCACCCACCACCACAACAGACAGACAGACAGACAAAAAAATACATGTATGTATGCACAATGAATTCATCAAGTCAGGTAGGTCGTCAGTCAGGTCCCCTAGCTAGGGCGATGGCACATCACCCTGCCGCCGCGTGGCCGACGTCTCACTACCGCCTTCAAGACACGCAGGGGCAACTATGGAACGTGCCACCAACCCCAACACCTCTCTCGACACCTGTCTGGAGCACTCACTGGGCGACGATGATGCCAACGACGGCAGGTGCGATATGAACGGCGGCGAGAACGCCCCCACTCCCTCACCCTCCCCATGACCACAAGAAGCGTCGCCCTCTCCCTCTCCCTCCCTGCCATCTGTCTCGGTCGTCACGCCGTCACCTTCGCTTGTGTCCCAGAGAGACGGCGCCGGCTGCTGCCCCACAATCTGCTGCCCCGAGATCAGCTGCCCCGCTTTGGTGCCGCTGTCGCCCTCGCGATTGTTGTTGTCACTTGCACACATCGAGATGGTCTTGGTGGGCTCAGGGGCGGTGTGGGTGTGGGTGTGGGAGTGAGAGTCATTCTTTGGGCCGATGAGGGACAGGATAACAGGCAGCAGGATGATCCCGTGGCCGAAGCCGATCCACAAGACCTGATGGTTGGTTGAAGGCAGGGAGGAAGGGAGAGAGAAACGGGGCATTGTGTGCGTGGGGGGGTGGTTGGTGCAGTGAGTGCTTACGAGAGTCATCATTCTGAAAAAGATAACGAAAATGAAGCTCCTCATGGTGAGGATGACCAGCATGGACAGGAACGTCGAGACCACACCCTGCAGCAGCGGATTGCCCATCAGGATCAGCGTCTCAGCAACCCTATACACACACACATCACCAGCCAAAATGCATACCTAGTCCATTCCCCTCCTCTCATACGCGGCCGTTGCAGTCATACCTGTGATTGCGGGTGGGCCCGACACAGTGGGAGAAGGTGTGGCACATGTGGGTCTGAACAAACCAACACAGCACAGAGAGAGAGAGAGAGAGAGTGAGCAGTGTGACAAAAGTATGACGTGTGTGAGCTCATGACATGACCTCTTTTCTTTTGCCTTACTACACTGACCGTGTAGTCGACGGAGAACCCGACAGAGAGGATGAGGCAGACCATGGACATCATGTTGAGCTTCAGGTCCCAGAAGTCCAAGAACCCAAACAGGCCCACGTCGATGGTCACGAGCATCACCATCACCAACACCCAACACTGCCAGTCCCTCATCAGGAACATCGACACCTAAACATATACACACACACACACACATGGACACATCCACACACACCTCGCCATGTCCCCTTGGTGCCCCCACTCACCAGGAGCACAGCGATGAGCGCATATCCCATGTTGAGGAGGGTCGACTGCACGATTGACACGTCCTGCTCGTAATAAGGGAAGTACTCGCCATAGGGGAAGCACTCAAGCCCTCCAGGCCCCTCGGCTGCGATGTGGCAGTCCTCACGGCTGCGCGTCATCAGCTTGGCACCCGACACGTCAGGACTAGCGAAAAAACGCAACTTGTAGGCAAGCAGATTTTCCCTCTCTGGCATGACACACACACGCACACAAACACATATACACACAAATGGAAGCGTGAAAGGCCGTGCTCGAGCGCTGTGTGTGGGGGTGCACCTCACCTTCGTCGAATTTGAAGTCGCTGGCGAGGATCTTGATCTCTTTCTTAGAGAGGAACTTTCTCAGCCTGTTTGTGAGCGAGCGGCACACAGAGGGATGTGTGTACGTTTGGGTGCGAAGGTCTGTCTGTGTATCTCCCTCTCTGTCCAGACAGCTTACTCGGCGGTGAATCCCTGGGGGTCGTCCTCCTCCTCCTCCAGTGTGGCCTGGTCGGTGCGGGTGTAGAATTCGTACATTCCCGAGAAGACCTGGTCCGACGCGTAGCCGCCGCTCCGTAACCGATCCTCATACGCCATGTACTCCTCCTGTGGAGAAAGAAACACACACAGCGCACGCAGCACATGTATGCCGTGTGTGCCGTGCCAGCCAGTCGTCCCCGCACTCAACCAACTCACCCGGACTTCTTTCTTCCACCACTCCTGTCGGTTTGGGAAGACTACAAAGACGTCCTCGCCGTAGGAGGTGAAGCTGGTGAAGTAGCGACTCCAGAACACCCTGTAGTACGAGTCCTCAGGCGTCAGCCACAAGAGATCCAAACCGGTCGTCATGCGCGTCACGCCCCACACAGACACGGCAAGGTACCCGGCGAACAGCAGCAGAGTCACCACCTGCATAAGCACATGTGGGGTAGGGACGGTAAATGATCTTTCCCTCTGCCACCATTGCTGTATCTGCGTGTGTCTGTGTGTGTACCTACCTTGACAGCAGGGATGGTGACCCATCTGCCCCAGAATCGCCTGAACGCCCACCGCACCTTCCGCCCAACTGTGCCAACTGGCTCCTCCACATCGGCCATGGGGCCGTCCCGCGCCTCGTCCCAGCCATCCTCATAACCCAGATGCACGCCGAAAAAGCCGCCACTGCTGCACCCGTGTTGCCGTGAGCTGCTTGTGGTGCTGGTGGTGCTTGTGGTGCTGGCCCTTCTCTGCCTGATGGTGAGCTCTTGCGCCTTCAGCTGCAGAGCCGCGAGCTCGAAGGTGTCGAGGGCGGCGGGAGGGGGGGATGAGGTGCGGCTGGGGGTGGAGGGGTGGGACGCTGAGATGCTCACCGAATGGTGCTCCTGCTCGTGCTCTGGCTCGGTGGTACTGTCCGGCTGTGGCTGCTCTGGATCGTGGTGTTCTTCAGCAGCTGGTGGCGGTGGCGGTTGTGCTGATTTTAGTGCTGGTGTTGGTGTGGATGATCGCCTCCTCTTTCTGCAGGTGTTGCACCATGTCTCGAGGTACGGCCCCTTGCCGGCCGCCTCACGCTTGGCGTCCAGACACACACTGGCGAGAAAGAAGGTGAGGGCGTAGAAGTAGCCCTGAAAAAGAAAGGGGGTCAAGCAGCAAGACAGAGGCATCCATGATCACGGATGAAGGCATATGTGTGTTTCTTGTATGTGTGTTGATGATTGTGGGGCAGGCTGGCCACTAGACCCACCATGAGCAGTGCCAAGAAGGTGATGATGCAGAAGTTGCGGATGGAGAGGTAGTCGCTCGACGCACCCACACCAAACGCAATCAGATTGGTCAGAGTGGTGATCGTTATCGATATGCCTGAATGCATGCACCATACCAACAAGCGTACACACAGAGAGAGAGAGAGAGAGAGACAATTGCAGCAACACGCTTTCCCTCCGACGGCACCAGCCAGATTTTATTATCCAAGAAAGAACGTACCGCAGTCTTTGATGGCGACGGCCACCCGCTCCCTGGGGTCGGTCACCTTGACGGCCAGTGCGTAGCTGTTGAATATCACAAACATGTCGTCGACGCCGATGCCCATGCAGAGGAAAGGGGTCGCCTCGATGGGCGGCACGTGCACGAATCCCAGGCTGTAGTACAGACCCGCAGAGAACATCACCGCCCACAGCACCGCAAAACAACCGAAAAATGCCGGCAGGGACCTGCAAGAGACAGACAGACAGACAGACGTTGACGCATCCATCCCTCGGCATACAAACAAACAAGCATACTTGGATCGGTGCGGTATGGTGGAGAAGTTGACGATGGCGCAGTATGAGAAGATGATGATGCCGCCGATGACATAGCGCGCATAGTCGAGCAGCCCCAGCCGCGTGCTCTCCTCGAGCTCGTCGTCGACCGACCGCCGGGCGTTGCGCACCAGCCTCACGCCGATCTCCTCGAACACCGGTATCTGCTCCCACACCAAATCGAGCCAGGCCTGCTCCCACGCCAGCAACACCGGATCCCAAAAGTCGTCCGAACCATTACGACGCAGCAGCCACCGGAACAGCAGGGCTGCACACACGCCAAGGGGTAGATAGAGGAGCAGTGAGTGATGCGAATGCGCATGCCTATGAGTGGTGGCTCGCTCACCTTCAGCGGCTTTGACCTTGCATCCTTCGATGCATCCTTCCGGTTCGAGTGTCACGTTGGCGGCGAGAAGGGGGACGGGCCAACGGATGAGAGAGCTGTCGTTGCGGGACCAGCTGCTGTCAAGCCGAAACTGGAGGTGGTACGGGTAGTTGAGGCTCTTGGTGAAGTCGACCTCATAGCTACACGCACACAAACACAAATAAACAACCATCACAGCGTGTGCGCGTGTGGTGCCCTGTCCCCGCCCCTCCCTCCCTCCCTCCCTCTGTTTCCCTCTTCACTCACTTCCTGTCGTCGCCATAGTCGGTCTTCCACTCCTTGGGTGGGTAGAGCTGCACGACGCTCTCATGCTCACACCGCCCTGTGCCGTCCTTGACACACACGGACTCATATCGTGGGTCTTCATACCCATACGTCTTCCCGTCCACAGTCACAGTCAGGTTGGCCACCTGCCGGTCCAAACGGTCGAGGGCCCGCAGTATGTGTGCCTGCAGCAGGTTCTGGCCGTCAATGCCCTCCACAAGCAGGTAGGTCACCCTGGGCATGGTGCCAAACAGCTCCGTCAGCCTGGCCTGATCCTGAAGGAGCAGAGAAAAGGACAGCAGCAAAGGGGAGAGAGAGAGAGAGAAATCTTCATCCATCTGTGTGTGTCTGATTGGTGGACAGACGGACGGACCTGCATGGCCTGCGAGTCAGGTATAGCGTACAGCTTCATGGGCGCGTACTCCTCTGTCCGGTTCAGAATTCCAACACCCATCAGCAAAGCCATCAACACAGGCACCCAGATGAACTGACACACACACACACACATAGAAGGGCACATGTGAACAAACGGGACACCTGAAATCTTCCTTTCCTCGATCCCTCCCTCGTTCTTTGGTTCCTTTCCTTTCCTTTGGCTCCTTACCCAGCATGGGAAGTCGTACACGAACAAGGTGTACCGATAAAAGCCTTCGTTGATCCCATCCACCAGCCGCTCCTTCACCCTCTGGAACAGCCCCCTCACCTCCCCCAGCCGACACCAAACCCCCTTCTTCGCATCTCCGGCCATCGCCGGCTCACCAACAGACCAACCCTCTCGCCGTCGTGCTCGTCCTTCCGAAGATCAGCAAGCAGGCCGGAAAGATCTGGGCACCCTGTGTACAGCGGTTGAGAGGGAGCGGTTCGGACGCCTCCGCTTGGTCTAAAAGCAAAACTCCCGTCGCGGTAGGTGGATCAGTCGCTCAGGGATAGGACGGGGGCTTTCCCAATTTGCGAGCTTGGCTTCTCGCGGATTTCGTTTTAGTTCTTCGCCCTAAAGCACCGCGAGTTCAGAAAAGGGGGAGAAGCAAATCCCGGCGCGTTGAAGAGAAGCAGGCACGTGGAGGGACGTGACTGAGACTATCGCATCCATCATCATCGACTAGCAGCGTCTGTTGGAGTCTGTTGGCGATATGCTGGGCCCTCAGGACGAGCGCCTGGGTCTGCACTCCACCGATGTGGCCCGCCCGCTGCCCCTCACCGACCCCATTGTGCATGCGCGAGGCCACACGGAGGACGAGCTGCTCGAGCAAATCTCCCACCTCAAGCAGGAGATTGAGGACCTGCGAGACTATGGCGACCGTGTTACCAAGGAGCTGCGGCGCTACCAGGCGCTCGGGCGCGCCATGCCGTCCGAGACGGAGGCGGACGACGACTCGCCTCTGCCGCCGTGGGCGATGAACATGCCTCTGATGAGCCCGCTGCTCATCGCCTATGACGACCGAGTGCGGGACCTCGAGTCGCTGGTGGAGCGGCGGCAGCTGGAGCTCCGGTCGCTGGGCGAGCAGACGCAGCAGCTGGTCAAGGAGAACGAGGACCTGCTGGCCGAGTGCAAGGAGAAGACGGAGGCCCTCAGGAGGTACCACCAGGACGCATCGGGTGAGTGAGGCGCATGCAGCGCACGCGCTATGGTCGCCATAGTGCATCCATTCGTTCATTCATCTGTCCATCGTGTTATGCAGGCATCGGTCGCAGCGAGGCGGCCGCCATAGAGGAGAGGGAGGAGCTGGCGGAGCTGTACAAGCTCTCTTGTGAGCAGAACGAGGTGCTGGTCGAGCAGAACCAGCTCATGAAGCAGCAGCTCGACGCCGCCCAGCGTGCCATGGAGGAGCTGCAGCAGCGGGCGGGCACTGAGGCGCAGAGGGCCGAGGAGGCCGACAAGGTCCAGAAGCGCCTCACCGCCGAGGCGGCCCAGCTCAACGAACAGAGGAAAGCCGCAGAGCAGCAGCTGGCGGAGCTCAATGCTCAGGTAGGACGCAAGAGGACTGACTGACTGACTGACTGGCCACGCCACGCTTTCACTGTTGATTGCCTGTGTGTCAGTACACGTCAGCGCTTGACGACCGTGTTGCCCTCGACCGTCGTGTGGAGGAGCTGCAGGCCGATGTGCAGCATACCAAGCGGCTCGCAGAAGAGTCCAGGAGAAAGCTGGAAGTCAGTACAGTTACCACACACGGGCATGTGACACAGGCACCCACGCACACGAAAAGGCACAACGTATCGGCCGATGCAATCAATGCGTGTGTTTGTGTGTGTATGTGTTTAGGAGAGTTGTCACCGTTACGAGTTGGAGCGTCAGGACCTGACGACCAAGTGCGAGCGGCTGGAGCATCGCGAGAAGGACCTCACGCACGCACTGTCAGCCATGGAACAGGACCTCAGGACTACAGCCGATAAGCAGAGGTATGTCTGTATGTCGCTATAAACCTGGGAGGCCATATCCATGCAGAGAAGGACAGACGGTGCTGCTGGTGGGGTGGGGACCGGCCGGTCAGGCAAGCTCGTCGGGAGGCTGACGTACTCAAGAAGGAACAGGATAACGTACGTACGTGGGATTTGCACTGCACGCCTGCGGGGAGGGGAACAGACAGACAGACAAAGGCAAACATAATTATTGTCGTCTCCGAGCAATCAACCATTGGCGTCTGTGTGCTGCCTACCTGTCTGCAGCTGACCAAGTCGATTGCGGTGTTGGAGCAGAAGTATCAGGAGACGAAGCGACAGCTGGAGCAGGTCAGGGCAGGTCGCCGTCAGACACGGATACACTCATATATCAGCACTATCTGCTGATGTGTCACCAGGAGCAGACGCGTCACCAGGAGCAGCGGCGCCAGGCCGACCAGCTCATACTCGACAAAGAACGGGCCGTCGCGTCAGAACAAAACCTCAAGCAACACGTATGTAACCACTCTCACCCCACCCACCACTCAGCCGACACACGTCTGTGTCGGTTGGTCAGTTTACACATCGATTTGGTTTGGTGTGTATGGGGTGCAGGCCGATCGTTTGGAGCGCCAGCTGACCACTGAGGTGCAGGGGCTGCGGGACAAGCACCAGGCGGAGCTCACGGCCAAGACAGCCGCACTGCAGACCAAACTCAACTCGCTTGAGGAAACGGTACACACACACACACACACACCCGCCAACACGAAATGCGGCCACTTCTGTGTGTGTGCACCGCTGTGTGTGTGTCAGTTGAGCACGTTGGAGCGTGCTAAGGCTGAAGCGGTTGCCGTGGAGGAGGCGGCCACTCGGCAGAAACGATTGGCCGAGGAGGAGCTGCAGCGAACCACCACCACCACACAGGCACGTCCCCGTCACCTCCCGTCACCTCACAATGAGCAGCCCCGTTGATTGTGTGTTGTGTCTGGCGGGCGATTGTGATCTAGGCGGAGGTATCTCGCGTGCAGAACCTGCTGAGGGAGGTGCAGGAGGTCAGCCAGTCACCGCCCATGTGTGTGTGTGTGTGTGTGTATGTTCTCTTTGTCCGTTCTCTTTGCAGGCCCGTTTGACAGCCGAGCGTCATGTGGACAGTCTGGAGGAGCAGCTCAAGGCTTCCAAGGACACTCTCAGCTCTAAGACCGCAGAGTGGACCGAACAGATTAAGGACGCACAGGTACGTGCCCGTGTGTGCGTATGGTGGGTGGGCTGGTGAGGCAGCCCACCCACTCTCATGCAAATGTGTGTCCCCCCCTCGTCTCTCAGCGTCAGGCGGAGGGCCTTCGCCAGCAGCTGCAGACCATCCAGCAGGTGCACACACATCACATGCATCACATAGCAGAGCAGGGCGAGGCGACACACACCCACACCACACCCAGAGAGGAAACTCCCTGCTCGACGCTCGATGCGCAACCGTTCGTGTGGATGTGTTTGCATGACATCCACCCACTTATTCATCAGGCGATGAGCAGCGTTGAGGAGGAGAAGCGCAACCTCCAGTACTCCCTCGACCAACTCATCAGGGACAAGGGGAACGCCATCGCGGTGTGTCACACCCCTCCTCCCTCCCTACACCCCCCCCCACACACATTCATGTGCCTGTTCCCCCTTGTAAAGTGTGTGTGTGTGTGCTCTGCTCTTTATGTATGGTGCAGGCAGCCGAGTCGGGTCGTCAGCGGATGATGCGTGATTTCGAGGAGGAGCGGTGTGCCCTCGAGGCCCACATCGGCAGCCTGCAGCGGCGCCTCAACGACGTGCAGGAAAGGGCCAGGAAGGAGGAAACCAAGGCAGCCGAGCTCATCAAGTAACTAACTTACCTTCTAAGTGACACACGCACGACCACAGCGTACCAACCATCCATCGTGATGTGTGTACATCATCTCATCTACTACTGCAGGGCGCAGGAGAGTCTGCGGCAGCGGTGGAAGGACGAATTGGAGAGGGAGAAGGCGGTAAGCCAGCACGCAACTCCTCCCCCCTACAACACATGCACCGATGGCTATGCTATGCACACAAGATCTCTCGGACCTCTGTCTGTGTCTGTCCGTTATGCATGCGTGTAGACGTTGGAGCGTGATCTCTCGGCGACCAAGGCGGAGAACCGGCGGCTCAAGAGCCGCCTGCAGAGCACACTGAGGCTGGCCTGCCTGCAGGCCACCGAGCCCGCCTGCCCCCTCTCGCCGCGACGGATGCCGCCGCCCGACTGTCCTCTCGCCAGTGTGTAGCGCTCATAGATAACATAACATAACATAACGGACGCACCGCAACATCTGTCTGCACGCATCTCTGTCTGGTCTGCGTGTGTGCATACAAAGGGAGACAGACTGGATGGATGCATGGGACTTCATGGGGGCTGGTTTTGATGGATTGATGCTGTAGGTGTTGCTTTTCATGGATGGATGGATGTGTGTTGGTGACCACGCGTGATCAATCCATATGAAATGAAGGTGATACGAACGTCGGAACGTGCACATCACACACAATCGGAAAAGATCCACTGATGAAGTGTCACGTCATCAAAGGGAATGAGCCCGTCGGTCTGTTATCCATCCACCCACCGTTGTACCAGCAACTGTGAGTCCATCCATCCATCCATCGACTCACGACCGCAACGACCCACCAACACCGCGGTACTAGGCTGGCTGGGGATGCTTAGCATGCCCACGGCAACAGGCAGATGGGCAGCGGGAGACAGACAGACAGGCAGATAGAGACGAGGTTTTTCATCTGCGCAAACAGGTAGGGATTTCAGCAAGTATATGTCCATCCATCCATCTATCCAGGCTGCAAAGAGAAAGGCAGGGACAGGATGTAATGAGCATGCAGGGGGTTTCTGTGTCCATGCAGGTCACTTCTGTGTCCAGGTCACTTCTGTGTCGCACTTGGATGGGTACTCTATGGAGAGAGCTATGTTTGTATGGGCATCCATCTCTCTTTCGCTCTCCGTGTGTGTGGGCGTGGCGTCCTGTTTGCGAATGAGACCCAATCATTCAGCCTGTAAGGATTCAGCTTAGGTTAGTCACTTAGTGTCCTCTGCATGCATGCACCTATTCATCCCATGCAGGATACGCCGCCAGACCATCCATCCATCCATCCATCCACTCCACACCCCACACCGTGCCAGCCACCATTGACCGTTCATCTCGTGCAGACGCACGCACCGTCCTATCCCTAGGCCGCAAGTCTGTCTCCCCCACACACGCACCGAACGCCACCCACTCATTCCTTCGGTCAGACAGTCGGGAAAAGGAAAAATAAATCACTCGGTCAGTCAGGCACCCAGGCAGCTGGATCGATGCGCTCGAAACAAAACTTTGATAGGCAGGTAGGCAGGTAAGCAGGCAGCCATGTGGCACGGGGTAGAGAATTGTGGGAGGGCAGCCGTCCACCCACCTCATTTCTGTGGGTGGCATGCCCTCCGTCACATATATACGGCGATCGATCCGCATACGGCCAACCAGTCAGCGAGTACGTATATGTATATGTGTGTGTATGTATGTGTGTGTGTGTGTGTGTATGTATTGATTGTTGTTGTTGTTGTTGATCTATTTGACTTGCTGCATGACGGTGTTGTAGCGGTCCGCGTTGCGCTGGAGGATGTGCTCCACCGGTCCTGAGTGAACACACAGCGACACGCATCCATCGCATGCACCCAGATGAATGAATGGCTGGGCGGACATGCATACGGCCGTTCGTTCATTGCCCTCCACTCACTCCCGTATGTACCGAGTAGTCGCTTGAAGCTTTTGCGGTCCAAAGTCACACACTTCACCTCACCCTGAATGCGATGCGCACACATGGAAGAGTGGCTCTCTGCATTGCATCTCTCTGTGTGGAGATCTTTCTTTCGTGTCTCACTGACTGACCTTGGCCTTGACGGTAGCAGCACGTGGCTGGTTCTTGATCAAAGCGAGCTCACCGAAGTAGTCACCTGTGTGTATGTATGGTGGCCCCTTACTCGTCGTCCTGCTTCTCCATATATAGGCACCTTACTTACCTTTCTTGTAGTCCATGACCTTGCCTGCACCACCCTCCTTGAACGCCTCAGCCTCGCCCTCCTCTGTTGGTTGGGCGCGGCGCCCCATATATCAATCACATAACATACACAGACAGAAGGGATGTGCAGTTGATGTGATGCCTCGCTGTGCATACTGAGTACCGATGATGTAGAACTTGTCCCCCTCGTCGCCTTGCTTCACGATCACCTCGCCGTCCTGACACACACAGCCAGGCCACGGACAGTAAGTATACTTGCCGGTGGTCTGGCCGGGTGCGTGTGTGTGTGTGTGTATACCTTGAATGCGGCAGTCTTGAGTGCGTCAGCAAGTTTGGACCGCTCGTAGGCGTCCATCTCCTTGAGCAACTCCACCTGACACGACACGGGTCGATGGATGCTTTGGCTGTCTGCCTGTCTGTCTGTCTGGCAGTGCCTTGCCTGCATACGCACCTTCTCGAGGAACCCCTGGTACATTTCGCGTTTCTTCTGCGCGGCGTCCTTGACAATGTTGTTGAAACTCTCCCGGTCCAACTTCCTGCAGCACCCATCCCATCCACACACAGCAACACATGGAAAGCCATGGGGTGAGTGCACGTGTGTGTCCGGCGGCCGACCAGAGACGTCCCTGCTTTGTGCACTTGACAGTGGCGGCCCGGGGGCAGTTGTACCTGTGGAGGCAGGCATGAGACACGCACAGACAGAGAGCAGAGACCACATGATGGATCCGATCCACATGTGAGCATTTCTGCTGGCTGCGAGTGTGTTTGACTGACAGGAGTGCGAGCTCCCCGAAGGCCTGTCCGCCTTCATACGAGGCCACCTGATCTTCAACCCCTGTCTCCTTCTGCTCACAACATACATGCAAAAGACTCACATGTGTGTGCGCGTTGGGTGTGCACCCGTCTGGTCTGGGGCATGCAGCCAGCCTGCCTACCGATTTCTTGGTGACGATGAATTCGCCGGTTTCCACGAGGTAAAGGAAGTCGCCGTCCTCGCCTTGAGTGATGACCACATCGCCGTCGCTGCAAACACACACACGGGCACACCGGAGGCTCCATGTGTCTGGAGGGGTGGGTGTGTGGGTCAGTGGGGATGGCGTGTGTGGGTGCTACGTACACGACCAGCATCTCCTTGAAGGCATCGATGACCGTCTTGAGATCCTTCTCGTCCAAACTCTGACGACAGACGAGTGATGGGCGGATGGAAGGATGAGTGAGTGTGTGTGTGTGACCCCACCCCCCTCCCCTCCGACCTGGAACAGGAACGAGTTGTTGATGGCATTGCGGATGCACGTCTTCTGCTCGTCCGTCTTGGGGTACACCTGAAGGGCGCAACCACGTGACGTGCTGTGTGCCGTGTCTCTGCGTCTGTGTGACGGAGGGGGAGGGGAGGCGGTGCTGACCGGTGCGGTGAAGGCTTGTTTTTTGTTAAATTCGCCATATGCCTCGGCACTGACACTCGTGCGGGGCTTCTTGCCGTAGTTGGCGGGCGTCTGGACACACAAAGATGGAGAGACATGCCGGGACGTGTGAGCAAGGAAAGAGAGTGTGTGTGTCCGAACAAAAAGGGTCAGGTCGGCGACTTCATCGTCCTCATCCTCGTCTTCGTCCTCGTCGTCGGCCTCCTCTGTAGAGGCACATACGCACACACATGCACGCAGAAGGATGGGAGTTGCTGGCCGATGGGTGCATGTCACTGGCTGCTGCACGTCACGTTGGTCACTTTCAGGGTCTTCGGTAGCGCCCTCGACCTTCTTGTACTTGTGCTCCTCTTCCTCCTTCACACGCATCTCGCCGCTGTCCACCCCGCACAGTTGGGTACAACACCTGCACACACCCAGAGAGAGCACACAGAGCAGACAGAAGGATGGCGGCTCCCTCGCCTCGTGTGTGTTCTCCGTCTCCCTCCCCTCTCCCCTCCTCCCCTCTCCTCTCCTCCCCTCCCCGCCCTGCGTGTGTCAAACCCCGGTGAACCGGCTTACTTGCACTGCAGGAGCCAAAGGAATCTCTCATACAAGGTCATAGGCTGAGCCTCCTGCTTCACCTCCTCACTCATCGACCTGACCTGCCTTCTCTTGTCGCAATACGCTCACAAATGAGGGAGGCAGCTCAGGGAGCCCCAGTCGGTATATATGCAGCCCTCGTGTGGTCCGGGAGAGCCGGCTGGTTTGATTGCGCGGTTGGAGACCGAGAAACACCGAGAAATTGCGGAAGCTCTCACCCCTGTGCGCGTCGGTGGTCGAAAGTCGTCACGAGGACCCGCAAGGGAAGCAGGTGGAAGTTAAGAAGCGGTGTGAACCTCAAGAGAGGGGGGCTTTCACGGTTTTGGCTGGTCCAAGTCGGTGCTTATCTTGCGCTTTGACAGACAGCACAGCAGCTTTAGGAAATGCTCAGCAGCCTGAAGAAAACTTGAATGCGAGTCTCAGACTGGCTTGGCCCCCCACAGCCCCCACAAGCTCGCAAAAGGTTGGCAGAGGGAGGACGCCGCCAAAGGGCCTTTGGTACTGGTGATGGTGAAAGCAAAGATGCGGCGGAAGCTCTGGTGCTGACGGAAGTGCGCTTTCCAGACGCGATCTCTCCTGGTGCCACAGCGGCTTCGGAGGCAGAAGGCAGCTCAGCAGGACGACAGACAACCCTATCAGACGCACCCCGCACCGGCCACACAAGCGTGGCCCTCCCCGCCACCACGAGACGAAGCAAACGCCGCACCTCACCGGCAGTGAGGGCTGGCAGACGTCAGAATGAACACGCCGAGCACCTACGCGAGCGAGTATCCTTACCCCCCTCCGCCGTCCACGGACATATCGGTGTCCATCCCGGCCGCACCCACGGTGTGCGTGTCGGCTCCCAGCGGCAGCGGCAATGTGTATGAGGACATGACGGCCGGCGGGTACGGCCCTGGGCAGTATGATGGGTCGGGCGGCGACCAGGACGCGGCGGGGATGCAGCAGACGGTGCTGCTCGCCAACGACTGCTTCTATAAGGTGAGCGAGCGGGGGAAGGGAGGGACGAAGTAAAGCTCTCTCCATTCCATTCGTTCGCACAGCGAGTGGATTGTATGTCCGTTGTGTCCTGTCTGTCGATGTGTGATCGTGACCATTGATTGTGTGCAGACCAAGTTGTGTCCGCATGCCTTGGAGGGTTACTGCCGCAAGGGCGTCAGCTGCTCGTTTGCGCATTCCCAGGCGGAGCTGCGGCCCCTGCCCAACCTCAAAAAGACACGACTCTGCGACACCTTCATGAAGGTGAGGGAGGGAGTGGCCTGGCCACACACACACACAGACGGACAGACACACAGGCAGACCCGATCCTATCTATGTGCCTTCGACTGTGTCTTGTGTATGTGTATGTGTGTTTATTTGCCAGACGGGCCGTTGCGACAACCTGAATTGCACCTTCGGTGAGTGAGGAAGGAAACACGCACGCACATGCTCATTCATGATGTGAGTGGGTGCCTTCCTTCCCATTGATTGTCCTGTGTGTGTGCAGCTCATGGGCAGGAGGAGCTGCGGGCTACGTCAGATTACTACAAGACCTCTCTGTGCTTCTTCTGGAAGAACGGCGAGTGCAAGGCGGGCGAGCGGTGCAGACACGCTCACGGGTGGGTGAGGGCGGAAATGAGACGAGGGAGGGTGGACACAAATTCTCTCTCTCTCTCTACTGTATTGTTTAGAGTGCATGAGTTGCGTCCGGCGCCTCCCCGTCGCCGGAACAAGAAGTCCCTGCAGGTGGTGACATCAGGGCTGTCAGGCAGGTTGCCACAGCCCGCCGCGCCCGTCACGCCACAGAGCGCCGGGCCACAGTTCCACCGCACCAACGTCCCTGACCTCTCGCCCTGCCTGCCCTCGCCCACATCCACCTGGAGCGCGCACTCGCCATGGCCCGCTGGCGTCCCCTGCCCCTCGCCCCCGCCCCCGCCCCCGCCACACCCCCCCATGCCAATCAACAACCCGCCGCCCATGCAGCTCACACCGAGGCAGGGCGGTGCCACTGGACACAGCAGCATCAGGTACGGTACGCGAGGGACCTTGTTCATGCGCACACATAGACGGATGGATGGATGTGGAATTGTGAGTGAGTGCAGGAATGAGAACTGGCCGACGGCAAGTCAGAGCAACCCCCTGATGAAGAGTATGGGGGGCGACATGGCTGGCAGTGGTGGCGGCTGGGGCGGCCACGACGAGCGCATAAGACGGTCCCTGGGGCTGGGACCAAGGTATGCGGCAGGGGCAGCCAACGCCGCCATGCAGGACCATCAGCCCACCGACAGCAAGGACGGCGACCGCCATCCACAAGAGGACGAAGGTGAGATAGACCCATCCAAAGACGTGCAAACACCAATCCCAACAGCTGATGTGTGTGCCTGTCGCTCGCTTCAGTTCCTGCCTGGTGGGAGGGTACGGCTTCATCCTCATCCTCCGCCACCATTCTGAAGGCCACCACGCGACCGTCGGTGCCGCCGGGCATGCACATGCAGGGCGACGAGAGGCGGGCCGCTGCGCCTGTGAGGACAACCAGCTCGTGGGGGCCCAACCCACAAGCACAACCTTTCGTGCCAAAAGCCAGGTATCTATCTATCTGTGTGGGTGGGTGGGTGGGAACAACGAACGAGGTAGGTCTACAAAATCTGCTCTGATGTGCTGTGTGTGTGGTGCACTTTCTTTCGTCAGCCTGTGGCGTGAGACGACGGTTTCTGGGGCGAGGAGCGCCGCTTCAAACCCTGACGTAGGCACAGCCCGCACACAGATCAGATATGCACACCCGTGCAACGAACGTCCTCTGTCTCTTGTTCACTCATTTCTTTCCTTTAGACACAGTCCGGTTCATCTCCCGGCCAGGCATCCGCCGGCGGCGCGTCAACGGTGTCGATCTTCGCCAACCCCTCGCCCTTCGCCCCAACGGCCACCCCATCGGCCATGCCGCAGCAGCCAGTACACACCGACAGCCCCACCCGCACCGCAGAGGAACATGCATGGCTGCTCAACCTGAGGCCCGACGAGAGCGACCCCTCCGTGGACGTGTCCGTGCTGGACCCGAGCAGCAAGGACCTGCTCAGCCGGTTGCCGGCCGACGAGCAGCCGCTGTTTATAGAGTTCCTGCGGTACAAGAGGGAGCGCGGCATGGTTGGCGGCATGCACAGCAGATCCACGGCCACAACCACGCCCACAAGGCGGCACTTCTCCTCCCCCTTTGGGCTGGGCCTCACGCCAGAAGGGCTGCCGTCCTCGCCCCCACAGGCACAGAACGCGTCCCCCGATAGCACCGACTCAGTCTTTCTGCGGCCGATCGCCATACAGCACCGGAGCCACTCTGACAACGGAATGAGCATCAGCGGGGGAGGATCGGTGTCGCCGGGAGAGAGGGGGAGGGGCGGTGTGGGTGTCGATTCGGCGGGTGGTGATGGGGGGCACGTGTCGCCCGCTGTGGCTGTGGACGTCAGGGGGGGTGCGGCGATTGCGTGGGACGAGGAGCAGGAGAGCGAACAGTACAACCGAATAGAAGAGGTACGCACGCGTCGGGACACACACACACACAAACGGAGATTCCATGCATGTTTGGCTGTCTCTAATCTCAGCTGGCATCCTCATGTCTGTCCGGTGCGGGCAGCGCCCCCTTCTCCCTCCTCGAGGCGCCTGGCAGCAGCACCACGTCGACCACCCCAACGCACCCCTTCTCCCCAACCCCCTGGGCGTGCGGCCTGCCGTCGGTGCTGGAGGTCAGCCACTCCAATGAGGACAGCCCGCAGAGTGACATCAACCTCGGCACAGCGCATGTCAATGACAAGGACGAGGAGGAGGAGGAGATGATCCGGGGCGGTGGGGGGTCGGGCAGCGACGGCACCACACACGAGGGCGAGGAGTGAGTTGAGTGAGTGATAGGTAGATATCTAGAGCGTGTGGCTGGCTGGCTCCCTCATGTAGGGGAAGGGAGGGAGGTGTGTGTAAGGGCGGAGGGAGGGGGCGAGCGAACGAGTACCGAGCGAAGGGCTCTGGTGCTCCTTTACTTGTTTGCTCGTTGGCTGGTCGGTTGATTGATTGATTCGTGATAAATGAGTGGTTGAGTGAGTGCTGTGATGAGTGCGCCGCTTTTTTCGCGTGCAGATGAGAGACAGACAGTGCGCGCATAATGGCGTTCGGTGTGTGCTGGTTGGTGTGGTCGGTGTCCTGTGGTCTTTCTGTTGTGGTGTGGCAGGCAGCCTGTGTGTGATAACGATACCATACCCCTCACACAAAAAAGACAGAAGAAACCAAAGAAAGAAAGAAAGTGGCTGGCCTGGTTGGTTGACGTTTTTTGGACGCAAGAATGAACGTCTGTATGTCTGCCTGCCTGCCTGTCTGTCTGCCTGTCTGCCTGTGAGGGAGTGAGCAGTGTCCGTGACTCGACCTGTGTATGTATCTCTGTCTGTCTCCAGTCGGGGCGGCCAACTTAGGGGATATGCACGGTGCAGAACACTCAGGGATACGTACGGACTCATGTGCTGTGCACCGTGTCCCAGTGTGTTCTGTACCGTGTCCCAGAAGCTGGCCGCCCCGCCGTACTCGCCCATCATGCATCTGTGTCTGCCTCTTGTGTATGTCCCGCCCTTGTCTCTTTTTTGGCCTCTTCGAAGGCATCTGTCTGTCTGTCTGTCTGTTGTATTGAATTAGGTGAGGCGTGTAGGCAAGCTAGAGAGAGACACACTACTTACTTAGTCAAGACAGAGAGAAGGAGAGCCAGAGAGGCAGGGCGAGGCAGGAGATGGACGGACGCTTACGCATTTTTGCATCCATCGTCAGTTCCTGCCTGCCTGCCTGCCTGTCTGTCTATCTGTCTGTCTGTGAGGCGATGGGCCGTCGTATTGCCACCGTATCAGCCAGCCCACCTGCATCCCTCCCACCCTCCCACCCTCCCTCCCTCCCTCCCTTGTTGTCGTGGGTGGCATGTCCCATGGTGAAGTGCCGTCACGTCACACCGACTGACGGGCCGGTGATTCATCATTCCAGGCCGCCTGACATGACACGCCTCACGTGGGGCTGGGCTGCACCGATGGATACGATGAATGACGTGGGCAGGGAGGGAGGGAGGGAGGGACGGAGTCGCTGTTGCTGTGAGTGCAGCTAATGAATGAATGGCCGGCCATCCATCCATCCATCCATTTTTGATGAAAGGGCAAAGGCAAACAGAGGGAGAAAGCAGGCAGGGCAGGTGCATGACATGATCGATGGATCCGTACGAGGGCCCGGGGGCGCAACCAACCAGAGGGGAATGTGCTGATTGATGCTTTTTGCCGTCCGTCTCGTGTTGCGTTGCGCCCCCTCCCATCCCGTCCACGCCTCCAGTCCATCCACAAGAGAGAGAGAGAGAATTCGTGTGTGCAGGCAGGCAGGCAGGCACGCACGCACGCACATAGCGACTGGCAACTTTTTCGTATTGCTGGTTGGTTGGTTGGTTCGTGTCACTCTTGTGGCCTGACCCTTATCACTCTCCCTCCCTCCCTCCCGCCTGTATTGCATGCTTGTCCGACCTTTTTCTGCATCTTATCCGCAGTCTCTCTCTCCCTGGCTGTGCAGTGCACACACACAAACACCTTGGGGATGTTTTTTCTTTGGTGGCTGGCTGGCTGGGTGATTGGATGGATGGATGGATGGGCGGATGGGTGCGAGAGATGGCGAGCAGGCAGAAACGGACGGAGGGAGGGAGGGAGGGGTGGAGGGGAAGCCGACTTTTTCCCGTCTGTCTGTCTGGTTGCCTAAGGCTGCTGTTTGTCTGAGAAACAGTGTGTGTGTGTCTGTGTCTGTGTCTGTCTGGAGAGCAAAGCAACGAGGTGGATTTTTGCCCATGTGTATTCTCGTCTGTCTGTCTGTCTGTCCCATTGAAAGCTGCCTAACGGCACCCCACGTCTCGTCTGCTTCTCTTCCCTCTCTCTCTCTCTGAGTCTTTGTATGTGTGTACTTTTTGGGGGTCTATTTGTCCGTTCCTGCCCAGCCTCCCTCCCTCCCTCCCTCCCTCCCCCCCCCGTAACTCGCCCACTGCAACGAACCACGACCGCAGTATTCCCGTCGGTCCACACGGCCAGCCGCCCGGCTCATTCATCGCAGCACAAGAGCCAGTCAGCCAGCCTGGCCACTCGGAGTTTTTTCCCCTCTGAGACGACGACTGACTGCCAGTGGAATGGCTGGCTCTTTCTCACCTCCGCGTGGCGTTCGTTGTTTTTTCCTTTTTATTCCATTGATCTGCTCCATTCCATTCATCGATGCGTTGGGTTCCTGTCGGCCTGTGTGTCTGCCTGCCGTGTGGTTTTGATTTCATCCCTCCCTCCATCCATCCGGCTGTTCATCGTTCCAAGTGTCTATCCACTTTTTCTGCTTTTGTGCTGGTCGTGAAAGAGAGACAGAGAGAGAGAGATGTGTGTGGTGATGACCTGACCCATCAATCGTGTACGCCCTGCCCTGCCCTGCCTGCCCTTCTGGCTGCCTGCCCCTTTCTCTCTGTGAGCGAGCGTGTGTGTACTCGGTGCTAGCTGTCTGTCTGTCTGTCTGTCCCTGTGTGTGTGCAGTGGCATACAATCGTACCACACAGAGAGCATTGAAACCTGTTGGAGTGCCATCTATCGTGTGGTACACGGCGGGAGGGAGGGAGGGAGGGAGGGAGGGAGTGCAGAGGCGGGGCTTTCTTTATGTACCTGCTGGCTGACTGACCTGATGCAGCTGTCGTGTTCGTAAGTGTGGCACGATGGATGTGAGAGACTTTTGTGCTGTGTGTGCGTCCCTGAGGCGTCTGTCTGATGTGTTGTTATGTGTTGTGTGGTGTTGTGTGTGGTGTTTGTGTGCACATGATGACTGACTGACAATAATCGCAGTGCGAGCGATGGATGGATGCTGGTGAGTGACTGTGGTGACTGAGTGAGTGAGCAAACCTATTACTGACTGACTGGCCTGAAAACTCTCAAGCAAACCGAATGGTTGATCCGATCAGCCGACGGCACGCACGGCTGTGAGGAAAAAATTCAATTGCATGTATATATGTGTGTGTGCGTCCATCCGCACCAACACCACAGCGGAGCATTTGGCCCCACCACCCCTCCCTCCGTCTGTGCGCTGGGCGCAGAGACACCTGGGGCGGGCAGCATATGGGCGCATAGTGAGTGATACACAGAAAGACTGACTGCTTCGGTCGGTGTGTTTGGTGTCCCTCCCGTCTGTGTGGATCGGCCGAATCTCCCCTTGTCACGCACGTCGGCCATCTGTGTGTGAAGACACACAGACGGCCGGCGTCCACGACAAGCAAGAGAATCGATCCCACATCGACATGGGCACAGGCATACACACGAAGAACGACCGCACCGCACAGAGACAGACAGACATTCATCGCGGGGTCCAGTCCACAAACGCCCCCCTCCCCATAAGCATCTCATCTCATCTGTGCGTTCCCCGGCCACCAGCGGCAGACACACACACGGACAGGCGAGAGAAAGGGGAGGAAGGGGAGCTGGGTACGTACGTACGAACACATACACATCAACGCCAGCCACGCCCCCAGGCACGTGTGTCGTGGGTGGGTGGGGTGCACCCCATTTCCCTTTCAAACGACCGAGGGAGGGAGGAAGGGAGGGAGGGAGGGAGATAGGCAGACAGACAGACAGGCACGGACAGACACACATCCGCGCGAACGTCAGTCACTCCGAACACTCGTCCACGAGACACGTATAAACCAGCCAGACAGTCAGAAACAGAGAGAGAGGGAGACGTCAGTCAGTGTACAGGCAGACCCGCCCTCCCCTCCCTTAGAATCCCTCCCCTCCCTCCCTCCCTCCCTCCCCCACACACACGTGTGTACCCTTACATACACATACATATGTCGTGTGTGTGGTGTGGTGTGGGTATGGGATCGTCCGTCCGTCTACTCCCTGTACCACTTGCGCGCGTGAGCCGCGTAGGTCTCTGACAGACACACACACAGACACACACGGCCACACACACGAGTTCCTATCTGTCTCCTTCTCTTCTTCTCCCGCCTACGTACGTTACGTGAGTGTTCTTAATTAACATCACATAATACCTGGTGCAACCGCCTCTACGACGATGGGCATGAAGCCGTGCAGAGTACCGCAGTACTCACTGCAATCATCGATCAGATCAGTGAGTGGGTGGGCGGATGGATGGATGGATGGACAGACGCACACATCACACACATGGTATGGGTGTGTGTGTAGTGCAGTGCAGCGCACAATGTGAGTGGGTACCCACCTGCACTGTCCGTAGAAGACGCCCTCGCGCTGGATGAAGGTGTGGATCTTGTGCAGACGGCCGGGGGTGGCGTCGGCCTTGATGCCCAGCGATGGCACGGCCCTGCATACAAACAAACAAACACACGCACACCACACTCAGGCGGGCGCATGCAGATGTCAGACAGATGTGTGCGTGTGTCCCTCCCCCAGTGGCTGGCTGGCTGGCTCACCAGCTGTGAATGACGTCGGTGCCCGTGATGAGGAAGCGGATGTGTGTGCGCGTCGGCAACGTCAGGCGCTTGTCCACCTCCAGCTGACGCAACATACCTACACAACACGCGCACATCACATCACATCACATCACATACTCAATCAAAAGAATCCATACATGTCCGTTCCGGTGTGGTGTTGTGTGGGGTGTGTTGGAGCCACAATGGTTGGTATGGTTGGTACCTACCGGGTTTGAGGTCTTCGTCAACGACCATATTGCTCTGGAAGACGTAATAGGTCGGGATCTCCGCACCGTCCAAATACTACACACACAACACACCACACCACACACACAGGGAGCATACATACATTTCATGATCATGACATGTCATGTCATGATACACGCGAGCCCTCTGCTCTGCTCTGCTGTGTGTGTGTGTGTGTGTGTATGGGTGGGTGGGTGCGTGTGTGTCCCTCCCTCCCTACCTCCCTCCCTACCTTTTGCGGCGTGGGGTAGTCTTCGGGTTTGACGTCCTTGAGCTTGGGCTTGTACTCCGGCACACTCAGCGACAAATCTGCAGACACATACATGGACAGTCAGTACACACACCAAAAACCACAATAAAACAAACGCGATTGATAGAGATGCACACGCTGCGCCTATGCGATGCGATGCGATGCGTCACGTCTGTCTGCCTGTCCTCTCCCTCTCCCTCCCTCCCTGACCTTGATCAACACTTTTGGCCTCGAGCGTCTCCATCTTGGGCGCCGGACCCTTATGCAATGACACACACACCAAGCACCATGCCCAGACAGACAGACAGACAGTGTGTGTGGTCCAGCCAGCCTCCTACCGATGGCGGGGCGAATTCAACGTTGGATTTGTATTGTCTGAACCCCATGTTGGTCATGGCCGTTCTCACGTAATCTACCAGCGTCATCCTGCCGCCGTGCAGCCACACACACACACACGCACCTGCCACAACCACACACAGGTGCTGCGCTGCGTGTGGCGTCTTGCGGCTATCCCCGCCCTCTCCCCTTTCCTGCGCTGTGTGACCCTCTCACCTCTCCCTACGTGCCGGCCGGGCCGATCTCTCGTGAACGTTCTCGCCAAACAGCACCCGAAAAGGCCGGGACGAGCAGCCCCGGTCTCAGAGTGAGATGTGGATCCGCCCGACTCTCAGACACAGGAGAGCACCAATGCCGACGTCTGCTCCCCTTCGCTACAAGAAAAGCGGAGACGCGAGCTTGTGAGCTAAGCTCGCCAGGGCTAGAGGGAGGAGGGGGGAAGGAGAGGACGATGCGGAGAGTCAAGACGGGTGCGGTGTCTGCCGAGATGCAGCAGGCTGCCGATGCAGCGAGGGAAGAACTGGTAAGGACCATGGAACATTCGAGTACTGTACATGCCACGCATCGCATCACTGGACAGCTCACACAGAGATCTCATCACCTACCTCTGTGTGTGCGTCTGAATGCAGTTTGAGGACGACGAAGTGAGGGCTTAGCCGCACTCAGGAGGATGATTGTTGAATGGCCACGCACAGATCTCCTCCCTCTGTGTGTATGGTGTGGGTGTGCGTGCATTGCAGGCGCTGCGTGCGTTGCAGCACATCCTGACAGAGGACGAGAAGAAGCGACTCGACCGCCGGCGGCCGCCCGGCGCAGCACGCCACCCTACCGACGACCTCGCACCTCACTACCTCTCACTCGCAGGACCCGGTGAGGGTCGTGTGCTTGTCCACAACAAACAGACAAACAGTCCCACATCCTCTCTATCCGACGGACGGACGGCTGTCTGTCTGTCTGTCTGTCTGTCTGTGTCCATGTGTGCACATGTCAGGCATTGAGTCTGAAGATGGTGACAGCGAGATGACTGTGGCTGCCTTCCTGGAGGCCCAGAGGGTGGAGCTGCGGCGGCAGGCCGCTCCCTCACTCACCTGCCAGCCGATGGCCACACCACCCGTCCCCACACACACACAGGCCAAGGCGGCACCACCACAGCCACCAGCAGCAGCTGCTGCTGCTGCAGCAGGTGGTGGTGGTGGTGACGAGAGCCCTCGTGGCGGTGCCACCGGTGGGGTGGGTGTGAAGATGGACCACCCGATGACAGGTGCTGAGGACCACCTTGACAAGCGGCAGGAGGGGGATGCTGTGGTGCGGGACCCCACAACGGGGACCTTTATACAGTTCAAGAACATCCGGTGTGTACGTGAGGAAGGGAGGGACAGACAGAGGGATGGAGATGGAAATGCCGTCACACGTCACCTTACTTACGTGTGTGCGTGTCTGTCCTGTTGTCCTGTTGTGTCATGTCTCTTCCCTAACAGTCGCTATCTGACCCACAAGACGGGCCACGGCACGGGGTGCGGCATCCTGGGGTTCCCCTTTGTGGTCGTCTCCACCAAACAGTCGGACGGCCCACACATATACCCAAACAGCCTGCAACTCACCCTCAAATACAAGGTGGGTAGGTGGGTAGGGGGGCAATCAAGGCAATCAAGCGCTGTCTGGGAGTTTCTGTGTGACCAAATGGGTCGTGTTGGCTGTCTGTCTATCTGTCTGGCTGTCCGTCTGTGGGCGTGTGTGTGCGCGTGCCAGATAGAGAAGCACATGTGTGTGGTGCTGGAGCAGCGGCTGCGCGAGGCCCTCGACGTGCTCCTGCACCTCAGCAGACTCAGGCGCAGGGGACGGCCCAAACCTCTGCAGGCCTTCGCGCGTGGTGTGGGTGGGAGGGGCAAGTCGGTGCCCACCCTCTCCCGCGCAGGGGCGGGTAAGGTGGGCCCCCGGGTGGCCATGATGCCCACCATGTCTGACACAGAGGTGGCCTTCTACGAGACAAACGAAGACAACGGGGGCAAGCAAATCACACTTGACGACGTCAAACACGCGTACGATTGCTGGCTGGCTGCACGGGCCCGCCAGACCAGAATCGACAGCACTGCACTGACTGCACATGTATGTGTGGTGTGTTGTCAGGCTGTCGATGCAGCTGCTGCCGGCTTTGTGTCTGCCTGGCCGGGGGGCCAGCCCACGCATCATGTGCCTCGTCAAGGAGCTCGACCAGACACAGCATAGAGCCACCGACTCGCCAAGTGCCAGCAGCAGCGACCAGCAGCACACGGTGCACCCCGCCAAGGCCCTCCATGACAATCCGTTCACCCGCACACCGTTCGAGGGAGACCCCCTCAAACCGTTTGACCTTCCCCCGCCGACCAAGATGGGCGAGGTGGGTGGTCTTGACACGGACACCGCTCCACAGACACTGCTACTGCTGCCGCGAAAGCGGCGGTACTTGGAGAGCTCTTCCTACGGTCCATCGAGCCTTCAGGTGTGTGTGTCCGCACGCGTGACTGACACATACATACTCGCCCCGCCCACGACGTATCTATGTGTGTTGTGTGTGTGTGTGTTATGTGTGTGTGTGTGTGCAGCTGGGTAAGGACACCAGCGAGCAGGACCACGATCAGGATCAGAGTGCGAGTGACGAGAACGAGTCGGGGAGTGCGGCGGCAGACGACGACATCGAGGATGGGATGGCCGATGATGATGGTGATGGTGGCAGCAGCAGTGCAGCTGCCGCGGATCAGCGGCCGTTTGTCGGTGCGGGGAGGGGCAAGGAGCGGCCGGGGCAGGGCAGGTAGCTAGCTAGGTGGGTAGGTAGCTGGCTTGATGTGTTCGATGGGGGTGGCCTGACTGACCTGGCCTGTCCGGTCCGCCCATCACACACATCCGCGTGTGAAGATCTATGTATGTAATCAATTGTCGAAGAAGTATTCAACATGTAAAATGTCTTGATGCCGATGCGATGGATGCCTACCGAAGCCGGCCGGCCATTGATTGATCGCATTCATTGTATGTCCGTCTCATTTACACATGCCTGCCACTCACTGTCCTTACTGTCTGTACACAGACATAGCGACCGACACCACAAAGCGTTCGCATCACCCCACATAGCATCATAGCATCATAGCACACCGAATGTATGGATCGCCGGATGGGATGGGATGCCCACCCCACCCGAGCGAGGGTCATGTAGGTCATTATCCCGGTTTCTTTGGGTATCGAATCTGTCCCTTGATGATGCCCCAAGAGTGGTGCTCGCCCGTCTTCATACGCTGCATCGTATACCTGCCGACAGACAAGACAGGTGTGTCGACAGACAGACAGACAGACAGACGTCCATCACATTTGCACAATGAGTTAGTTGGTTGGTGGGTTGGTCGTGTCACTGTCAGTCACTGTGTGTCTACGTGACGTGACGTGACGTACGTCTTCTTGGGCATGAGCAGCTTCTGTTGGTCCCAAATGGCGCTGAAAGTGTGTGGGCTGCTCTCCACCCTCTCGCGGAACTTCTGCAGCTCACGCTTGAACTCGGGCAAGGCTGCCACCTGCAACCACATACACATACACACACACGTACACACAAAAGGCACATGTCCGTGTGTTTGCGTGTGTGTATGTGTGTGTGCATGTGTGTGTACCGTACCACAGTGTCGAGGTCCTCTCTGCTGAGATACATGAGCGGCCGGCGGGCAAAGTCGCTCACACACAGCACCGGGTGAATCGCCAACATGCTGCCGTCGGCTTCCAACTGTGCAGTCAGTACACACAACATACGTAGACCAACAGACCATATGGTAAACCGTGTGTGTGTCTGCCTGCCTGTGGGAATAGTGCACTGCAGCATTGCAGCTAGCCATCTTACTTACCTTGGGCGGGAGCAGCGGGTAAGGCCCCCTGGGCCCCTCCCAGTCCTCAAGGTCGATGGTCTCGTACGCATTGAAGACGAAGAACTGACGGCCCCACGGCTCGATCTGCACACAACACACGCACAGGACAGGCACACACAGGTGGATGGATGGATGGATGGCCCATACGCACGCACGTCTATCTACTCGCAGTAAGTAGGTACTGACTGGATGGAGCGGCGATGAGTCTGGCGGGGGCCATGTGAAGTAGTTCGCTCGACGGTTGCGGATGTCTGCAGACGACACAACACCACACATGGTCAGTGCACACACACACACCGTCACGTCACGTCACGTCCTTTGATGTGATCTTCCCATCTCACATCGATAGCAATTCCGCCGAACTGCAAGAAACAAACAAACAGACAGACACACACATGTTGCACACGCACAGCAATGCCGTTCACACGCGCAACAAATCGGTTCACATCATCTGGGCAGTCCTTTCTTCTCAGCATCATCGCAGCAGCGGCAGCTCAGCTTACGTACGTTTGTTGTGGCGCACTCCCGTCGGGCGCGGGATGATGCCAGGCATCGCTCGCGACAATTTTTCAGTGCAGACGGCAACAAACTCTATCCTCCTTCCCAAGCTCAGCTCGCAGATCTTGAGCTCGCTGGGGGAGAAAGGAGGGGAAACGGTTCGCGGAGGCTTTGCGGAGGAGGAGGCAGTCAGTTGGACGACAAACACGACGAAAAGTGCGAGATTGAATCATCCGGCGAGGCTCCAGATCTGTCAGCGCGCACACCAGCAGCAGATCTGCCAATGACGAGCTTCGCGCGTCTGATTGCATGTGTGCTGGTGCTGGTGTGTGTCAATTTGTATGTGAGTGGTGTGCGTGGTCTTGACAATGGAGTGGGACGCCTGCCGCCAATGGGCTGGAACAGCTGGTAGGACAAAGGACACAGAGGACACACACACGGAGAGAGTGCGTGGATGCGCGATAGGGATGGATGGCGTGGATGCATCCCATGGATGTTGTGTGTTGCAGGAACGCCTTTGGGATATCCCCACGGCTCATCGAACCCATCATCGAGCAAACCGCCGACCTTATGGTGAGGGAGGCGAGTGAGTTAAGTGCGATGAATGGATCAATCCCTCTCTCCCTCCCTCCCTCCCTCCCTCTCTGCCTCCTCTGTCTGCACTGTCCGCCTGTCCGCCTGTCTGTCTGTGTCCATCCATCCATCTGTTTGTGCTGTGCTGTGCTGTGCTGTGCTGTGTGTGCAGGTGTCATTGGGTCTGAGGGACGCTGGCTACCGGTACTTGAATATCGATGACGGCTGGCAAGGCGAACGGGACAGTGACTCACGCATCACGGTAGGTAGGAAGGTAGGTAGTACATACAATACACACCTGCGTGGCTGGCTGCACAGACGCGTGTGGGCATCGCATGTATGTCCATCTATCTGATCTGTGTGTGCCATGCAGGTGGACGCCCAGCGGTTTCCGAGCGGCTTCAAGCACCTAGCGGATTACGCCCACGCCAAGGGCCTCCTGTTTGGCCTCTACTCGGGTGAGGTGCCTGGGTGAGGGAGTGGTGTGGTGTGCACTGCACCGATCCTATCCATGGGGGCTGGGTGGGCCGTGCGCGCATGGACGTTTGTGTGTCTTGTCTTGTGCAGACGCCGGCACGCACACGTGTGGCGGGAAGGAGGGGTCTCTCGGCTATGAGGACATCGACGCACGCACATACGCTGGTTGGTATGACTGACCGTGTGGCGGGCATACGATCTGTGTTGGCGGGGGGGTGGGTGGACGTACGTGTAGATTGGGGTGTCGACTACCTGAAGTATGACAACTGTTTCAACCGGTTTCTGCCCATCAGACCCAGGTAGGCACACACACACACAGCGACCCACCGATGGCAATGCATGTGATGGGTGGACGGATGGATGGGCGTGTGTGCGCAGATTCGAGAAGATGCGCGACGCACTCAATGCGACAGGGCGGCCCATCTTCTACTCGCTCTGCGGTGCGTGCGCCCCGTCCCCCAATGCTTCATTCACAAGGACAGCAGACATACGTCTGTCTACACACGTGTGTGCAGTGCATGTCTGTTGTGTGTGTGTGTATCGACAGAGTGGGGTGTGGACGACGTGTGGGAGTGGGGGGCGTCTGTGGGCAACTCGTGGCGCGTGACGGACGACCTGATGGACCACTGGGACTCACTCGCACACAATGCAGACGACGCTTCACAGCTGCACCAACACGCAGGTCAGCTGGGGGGGGGGGGGGGGGG